GCGATCCCGAGGGGAGAGGAGGGCGGGGATCCTCCTGGCCCCGGAGGAGGAGGCGGCGGCGGGGCCCTTGCGCGTGGCGTTGCCCGCCGGCGACCTCTTCGCCTTCCCCATGGCTAGTGCGGTGGCCACGCCGCCCCTGCCCCTGCCCCTGCCGCCCCTTGCGCCGCCGCCCCTTCTTCCTGCTCTCTTGGCCGCTCGAGGGCGCTCCTGAGCCGCGACAGCGCCTCGCCTCCATCCACGTGGAGGAAGAAGGAAGAAAAGGACTCCCGAACTCCCATCCGCGCTAGACGGGCCGGGAGCTGATGGGATTTGTAGTCCTCCTGCCACCTCTGAATCCTCAGCCTTTCCCTATAGGAAAAGCCAGTTCTGCTGGTTCCTAAATCTGTATCCGTTTGCTTCCTTCAGGGCAGATTTTTTTTTTAAAAAATTGTATGCCGCCTTGGGCCCCCCCTTAGGGGAGAAAGGCGGGATACAGCTCAAATTTAATACAATAAATAGCTCAACTTAGAGGTGTGCAGAATCCACAGTGGTGGGGGTGTACCTTCCTTAGGGCCAGCGCAAATGTCATTAAACCCTAAGCTTGGTTCCTGTAACTGGTTCATTCCCACCCACCCACCGCACCCCACTCCTTTTATTTTTTAGGAGAAAAGGAAAAGCGTCTATTCCAAGTCAGTGGAAGGACCTGGAAGATCAGGGAGAGAGAGAGGATGCGATCCTGGCGGTATCCGAAGAGAGGCTGAGTGCTGTGGAACCCGAAAGCTGCCACCAAGCGGTTGTCAAAGCGACACACGGCTCTATGTGTTTCAGACAAGGTGGGGGGGGTTGTGGAAACAGCTATTTTTAGGGACAAGCTGATCTTAAGGGACAGCTGCAGGGGAGGCCTTCGAGAGAGGTGGCCCCTCGCAGACCCCACTGTGACCCTTGCAGCGGGTGGGTGGCCCCAAAGAGTCTGTGCTGTATTCGGAAATCATCCACCACAAGGAGGGACCCCCCCCTTTCTCCGGGATTCCACTGCAGGAGGTTGCCCCACATCCACGCCACTTTAAAAACTGGATCACGGGGAGGGGGGGATGATGCAGTGTGCCCAAGGCTAGCCAGGCTGGCTGTTTCCCTGGGAGACACTGCGGAGAATTGAACTCCCAACTTCTGGCTGTGCAAGAAGATACTGGGACCACTGTTAGGACTATGTGCAATAGATAAGTGGGTCCTTTATCAAATCAAGAGTGAACAAATCTCTAGACGCAAAAAGGATGGAATGGAGGCTGTCCCATTTTGGGCACATCACGAGAAGGCAGGATGCTCAGGAAAATACCATCATGCTGGGAAGGGTGGGAAGCCGCAGGAAAAGAGGAAGACCCAACATGAGATGGACGGACTCCCTCGAAGAAGTCACGACATTTGAGTTTGCAAGAGCTGAGCTGTTGAGGACGGGACATTCTGGATAGCGCTCATTCACGGGGTCGACATAATTCAGAGGCAACTTGACAGAACAACAACGCCAATTATGTTTCGTGAAAATATTGTTCTTCAATTTGTTAGTAAGAAACGGCCGTTGTTAGCAGATGTGCTTCCTTTCTTTGACTTCGAAATGGTTACCCTGTAGTTTGGCCTCTGAATGGGTGAAGTCCTTACCCTAGCCCCCCCCCCCGTAATGGTATAGGCAGGGGAGTGATATTAGTTTGTCCCTTTTAAATATTTGTGTACATCTTGTTTTTAACTTCCATATTGTCTCTTAAGGCTGTATGTAAGCTGCCTCTTTATACTCATAGTTCTTAGCTTTAAATATTTTCTTTCCATGGTGTAAGCTGCCTTAGGTCCTTTTTAAGGAGAAAGGTGGGGGAGGATATGTTGAAACAAACAAACAAATACTGTAAATAAATGCATTTTGGTATTTAGGGATTGCTATTTCTTCACGCCAAGGTGTTCTTTTAAGAGCTTAAGTGGTGACGGGTGACAAACTCTTTCAAGCTCGGCCTTGTGCTCAGGTATATACTTCCTGTGTCTCATGGTAGGCAGGAGGTGAGGTCACCCTACTGCTAATGGGAACCGGATATATTATGAACCCCCAAGTTGAGTTGCAAAATTATAATTAGAGCCTTTTCCACTGGGCTCCGGCGATTCTTCCGGGTTGCCTTTTCAACATGGGCCCTTAATAAGGCTCACTCAGCACCAGAACCAGTTTTTAATAGTAGGTCTGTGGCCACAGTAATGTGTGTAGGCACATCTCTTGAGTATTTTTCCTGTTACTCCACAGCATCTGAAGCCTGGACGTTAGAGGGGTGTCAGCTTAAAGCCCTGCTTGATTAGCTCATCAACCTTACCGCGACAGCAAAGATTATAGGTTGTGATTTAGTGGTAAAATTGGGAATGCTTATGCTTAGTCCTCTTAATCAACTTGCACTCAACAAGAATTCGAAACATGGAGTTCGTTCGGCTTACTCCAGAGGGAAATATTTCCTCTCGGGGATCGGGAGGCTCCTTCTAGCCACTTTCATCTCCAAAAGGAGCAGATATTTCGGGAAGCGAACGCCTTTTCACGAACGAGATGTCTCGGGTACAACAGGTATCGCCGAAGTGGACATTTTTATTTCGAAGAAACAACATAGTCAGGTTGAACAAAAGAGAAAGGAATCCCTAAAAACCACCATGTGGACCGATTGCAACATTTGGTTTATCCTTGAGTCTTTGTGCCATGACTTGTTCAGAGTAAATATTTAGAATAAATAAAATGATAAGTACAATGTATCTGAAAATAACAAAATAGAATAACAAAAACAGGCAAGTGTTTCTCTTTTTCTAGCTTTTAGGAAGGGAGGTGGATGGGAGCACTTCCTGTTATTCCCGTTCTGAAATGTATTCCCCCGATTAATTCTAACATGAGTCACTTTGTTTCTGCTTTCTGCGATTCTGCAAAGTCTAGTCTCCAAAAGAGCAACTGAACCAACACAGTCCTGAAATACTCCTCAGACGGGTCACACTTGCTTGAGATTTAGCCGTACCAACAAAAAGATATCTACCCTCCCCAACAATTTTTTAAAAATTTCCTTCTTCCTTGCCATAATTCGCCTACTTTTTGTTGGGGGTGTTTTGGCCAGGATAAAGTTTCTAGTCCTCATTTTTAAACTATCTTCTTGAGCTTTCTGTATACTTCTCCCCTATGAATCAGATGGCAAGTTGGAATGATTTTCTGAAAGAGCCACTACTCGTGAGAAAGTGCTCCAGTCAGACATGCAAACTACTTTTATGTCTTCTTGCTTGGGGGAGGGGCGTAGTTCCTATTTTATTTGACAGGAACACAATCTACTTGATTTTGTTTGCTTCTGCCATTTATATCCTGCTCTACAGCACGAACGCCTCAAGACAAGACCAGAGGAAAAAGAGGAATTCTCACTGTTATAAGGTTCCTTTAACGACCAGATTTAATGCAACCATAATGCTATAATTCTGGCAGATATTAGTAGTCTTTTTATCATGACCACCAAGACCTGAAAGAACTCAACAAAATTAGAAACCAAAAAAAACTAGTTGAGCCACATGATGGCTCTGCTTTTTGTCTCCTCCCTTATATGTCAGTCGGACATTTGAGGGAGTATTACTTTGGGTATAACTTTACTTTTTAATTCTTACACTTCCATCCATGGTTGCATCTCTCTGCTTTAACCTCACAACAGCCCTGTAAGGTAGACTAAAAGAGACTGACAGGCCCAAGGTCATCTGGTGGCTTTCCTTCCTAAGTGAGGATTTGAACCCAGGTCTCAAAAGTTCTAGTCCAACTTTCCAGCTGCTCTGCCACACTTGCGTTGACTGCTTTTTCTAAACTCTGCTCAAAACCGATTTACTGTATTTCGTTAAATCATTCTTGAACAGCTAATTGCCTCCATGTTTTCTGATCAGGTTCTCCCTCTGCCCCAACGTCTGCTTTTTTTCATCCACCATCCATTTCGTGCTGTGAGACCTTTGAGTGCAAACGTGGAACTTGCATGTCCCACGATAAGAACATGACTTTGTAATTTCTTATCCCTTCCTGATAGCTACTATCTGTAGGCCTGGGACAGTTGTTCCACTCTGCCAAGCGGTTGGGCCGGCCATGATATGAGCAGCACCTTGGATCTCTCTCTGGGAAGCCAGAAATGAAACACACCGGTTGATGCTGTCTGCGTTTTTCAGACCCTATAAAGCAGGAATCACTCTAGTCTGGAAATGTTTTTCATTAGTCCTTGATGCCTTCTAAGGCTGACCTCTAATAAACAAATCAGATCAGGAATTTAGCTAAGAAAAAAAAAAGGCAAGGGAATGTAAACTGAAGGTAAAAGAACAATCTGGAAAATCGCTAAATCGTTTCCAAGAACTGCGTGGGGTCCAAAGTTCACATCTCAGGATAACTAGTACTTCAGATTAAACAGTACATTTCTTCCTCCTTTCACACCCATGCTATTTTAATAAAGCACACTCATGTGACCGTGACTCAGCAGAAGGTTTCTGGGAGTGTTGCCCACCGGTTAAATCAGGTCACAGAAATAAAAGGGCCTTTGAAATTCTGGAAACAACTCCCCCTCGCATATGCTCTGCTGAGTGGCTGTGCAAAAAAACAACAACACAATCTTTCTCATCTTTCCTAACATCTGAACGGAGAAAGCTGAAATAGTCCTAGCCCAATAAGTTATTTCTGTATTATGTTCATTCTCTTAATTAAATGCAATTATTGGAAACAATTCACACATTCTAAATTATCTGTGCCTATTCCACCATGCTAAAGCCTACCTTAATTTTACTGATTTTTTGTGTGTGTTAGCTGTGACCGACATAGCTTTCAAGGCAAGTGAGATTCTTAAGGAGTGGTTTTACCAACTTCACATCCCTAGTGAGGTTCCAGGGCTGAGTAAAGGATTCGAATCCAAGCCTCCCAAGTCCTAGTCATCCACTACACACCACACTGGGCATTCCCACTGAAATAAATAGCCCACTTTTAATTAGAACTCCAGAATGGCTTGGCCAATGAGTCAGACTTGCTTTAGATATATTTATCAGGGCATGTCAAAGGGTTCGGTTTGCAGCTTGCATTTCTAGACAGTTAAATAACCTGACTTTGACTTTCATGAGCCAAGAGAAAAATAAATCTATACAGCGCCGTACGTTTTGCTCCAAAAGCAAGAATAAAATTACAAATACTGTATGGTGTATACGAAATACAACTTGTCCTTTAGAAGCTGGGCCGAGAGGTAAAAAGACACAACTGGAGCCTAACAGAAATGTCCCCTAAACCTCCACCCCACCCTGGTCTAGCAAAACTTGTTTGAACTCCATCCTGTGTGCAAACAAGGAAAACAATGAATTTTCTGAGCCTTCTTTTAACTCCCATTCCTAGGAAAGAAACAATGGACCCTATCTGGGAAGGGAAGGCAGAGAGGTGATATGATTGCCCTTGTTAAATATTTGAAGGACTGTAACATGAACAATGGGGCGATCACGCTTGTTTTCTGTGCCATCAGGGGGCAGGAACTGAACCAATGGATTCGGACGACAAGAAAGGAGATTTGGACTAAACTTTAGGAAGAGTCTTCTGGCAGTAAGGGCTGTTTGAGAGTGGAAGGGGCTATCTCAAGATAGTAGACCCTCCTTCACAGAAGGTTTTCATATACAGGGGTTGGATAGCCGTTTGTCAGGAAGGTTTTAGTTCAGAGGATTAGGCTTGATTAACTTTAGGATCCCCTCTGGCTGTGCAGTTCTGGGCTTCTTCCTCCATATAGTTTTCTTGTTGTTTGGAAAAGAGTTGGTGTTACGAAGTGGGGGAATCTCACGTACGAATGGAGCCTTCCTATCAGCACACCCAATGTCGCTTTCCGAACAGGTTCCTTTTACAACATTGCCCAGTGACCTATTTGTAAAGCTCCGAGGCCCTGGCTGCTCCCCGTTCTTCCGAGAAATCTGAATACAGTACACCAATGCCATTCTCCCCGTCATGCGATCTGAACACAACAGGGGTGGGGTTTTTTTGCCAGCACAGCACTGATGTTCATCAGCTGATGTTTGTCAGGTCACCCAGAATCCCCAGGACAGAAATGAAAAAGAAAACACCTTTTAAAGACTTTCCAGAGTTAATCATCTGCTTTCTAGAGTTCTCTGACCATAAAGCAAAAACTGGGTACCCAATATGCTGAGGGATATAAAATTTAGAGTGCTAATAAATAACCTGCTTATTATTTTGGAATGCATCATTCAAGCTTCCAAGTTAAAACAGAATGGTTCCTCTAGTTATATGTTCAGGAATGGCTTTCAAACGGGGGCGGGGGAGAGGAAAAAAAGAAAAATTAAATAAAACCAAATAATAAGACCGTCCATGCCATTAATTTTACCTTTATCTCCACATTGACAGAGGTCCTAGTATGGGTACCTCTTACATGTTCATTCAGTTATGTCAACAAATAGGTTTGCTATAAAGAAATAATAAAAAAAAAAATGGTTTCATGTTGTGTGAGAGAACTTCTGTTATTTCTCTTTTTTTAGGCACCCATTTTTGATCCAAGTTCTCCTTTGGCACAAGTATTAATTTTGAGCAAGTTCAAAACGAGGTTTCAGCCTCGTTTCCTGAGGAAAACTGGCAGCTGAAACCTTGGATTAATTTCATATGATTTGCTCAATTTAAAGAATTTAAACAAGTTTTCTTCTGCAATGCAACTCCTGCTGTGTTGTTTTAATGCCAATAATTCCAAGAATGTGTGTCCAGAATTGGCACAAACAGTTTGGAGACAATAAAATCTTTCAAAAACAAGCAAATCATTTTTTTTTTAAGAATAAGGACTTTGTGGCTCACAAATTATTCCTCATCAATCCTTTTAAAAAATTGTGTCAGACAGACTTTGGTCCCAGCTAGCTTGTACATTTTTCCCTGTTATGTTTTCCTAACACATATATAAGCAGGTATAAAAAAATAAGAGGGACTCTTTCTGTTTAAAGCCAAAAGCAAGAGCCATTTTCCAGATTGTGTTGTTAGTTATTGGGAAAGGAGAAATAAATATTCCTAATACACAAAATAATCATGGTATGAATCTCTTTTCTTTTTGATCTGGTAATGCTGCCACACATTTTGTCCTCTTTTCTTTTTATATGCTGCCATGGTCCTGCTTGTCAGTTTTCAGATATTTCCTTCACAGCTGTATTTTTTTTTAAATATAATATAAGCAGTTTTCCAGAAAAAGAAGCATGAAAATAAATAAAACACACAAAAAAACCAGGCAGTGATTGGGAAGCAAGAACCGAATCTCCCTCACAGGATGAAGGCTTTTGTGTGAGGGGAAAAAAGAAAATAAAATCAGTGTTGTCTCTATTTGTATTATTTCAGGGTTATTAATACTTCCCTTCCTCATTCAAAAATTTAGCCTTTTCTATTTTAAAGAGAATTTATTACACCGTAAATCCCTCACGAATAAGCTTCCCACCATTCCCCCCTCCCCCAAAGCTCTCCTCAGCGGCTGCCCAGCCCCCCTGAAGAGGCTTCGCAACTCCTTTTCCGCATGCGCACTACGACCCTTTTCCGATTAGCCCCACCCCCTTCTCGAAATCTTCTCCGAGGTGGAGGGCCTTAGCAACAAGGGCGACGTCACTCCGGGCCAATCAGCGACGAGTTAGTCATTCGCTTCCCCTCCCCGCCCTTTTTCCTTCCGTCTTCTCTCCCCTGGATTCTTCTAGAGCTTTCCTGACGATAGCCTCACGCTGGGACCAATCAGAGAACGAATTCTTCCCCTTTCCACCAATCGCCACAGAAAGGCCCCGTAAATCCCGCCTCAAACCTTTTCTAACGCTTTTCGAATGAGGCGAAGGAATTTTTTGCCAACTCGACCTATATATCCTTCCGCGCCAAAAAAGTTTACCCCTTTTTCCCCCCTCTTGTTGTGGGTCAGGCCAAAAATCTAACGCCCGCTTCATTTCTCCGTCGTCTCTGTGTCACAGAAAATACAATAGTGTTCTGGGAAGTCGGTTTTTACTGTTTTCCAGAGGAACTATTTTTTCAAGACGGAAGGATATCAGTGTTAGCTCGAGAAGGCGGAGCTTCAGAGAGGACAGCCTATAAATAAGGCTGGCGTGGGACAGGAAACGCAGTAGCGAAACGTCTCCGAGTATCGTGTGTCAGTTTGGTGTTTTCGTTTTATTCTGGCGGTCGTGATAAAGTGGTAAGATGGCGGTGGAGGAGACAGAAAGCGGGGCTGTTTGTGAGGAACCCTAGTCTTGAGGGGGCGGTTTTACCTCATGATAGGCGTGGGTTGCGTCACTGGCGCCCATTGAGGCGAGGGTCGGGGTCGGGGGTGGCCATGGTTGTGAGGAGGGGTTGAGGCTTGGGGTCCGTTTATGAGGTGGAAAATGGGGGCTTTTTCTTAGCGATCGCGTCTTGAGGGAGTCGGGCCGCTTCGGCCGCCCGCGAGGCTAAAGGACGGGGGGGAAATTACGGAGGAAGAAGAAAGAGGGATGTTGCCCCGGAACAAGTGGGTGGCATGGCTATTAAGCCTTGGCTGGATTAAAAAAAAGGGAGGGATGGGGTGGGCGGGCAGAAAGAGTGGATTTGATTGTTAAATCGAATTGATTTCCATTGGAATTTTTTAAAAGGATCTTTTTTACGATTTAAAATAACTTTTATTTACATAGATGTTTTTAAGATAAAGAAGCATTTATTTTTATCAATTTCGGAGGAAAGGAAGCGTTTGGGAACCACGGGGAGGGCGAAACGCATAAAGAGAGGTGTGGCTTATATGTTGGCAGTCCTGTTGGTTCGTTATGAAAGCAGCTCCAGGAATTGGGCATGGGGAGTTAAAACAGCTCAGGTTTTGGTTGGGACGACAAACTCCATCACCCTCAATTTCTTAGGGAGGTGGTTTGGGGCGATGGGGCTTGTAGTCAAGGCGATGGGTCTGAGAGTTGGGATTGCAGCCCTGGAATGTTGGATGCAGTGTTACTGGTACTGTATTCTGTTCCTTTGTTTGCTCCAATAGTGCCAAGTCATTATGGTATAAATCTGGATAAGGAACAGGATGTGAATGATGAAGCTAATCAAGGGGGAAAAATTGCTGCATGAGCCAGAATTCCATGCAATTGTTTTGCTGAGCTTTATGCCAAATGTATATCATGGATAGTATTTGACGGCATTTAATAGAGGCATTGTTTCTTTTATTTACTGTTTTTCATTTTTAGCAAAGAGTCCAGGGTGGAGATCAGTATGTAGTGAGGTATTTACATAGTCTAGAGATGATTGCGCTGGCTAATCTGAGTAAAGACATATGAAAGTAACAAGTTGCAACACCCAAATTTGGAGTCTTAACTGGCAAAGGATTGTGTTCACAGAGGGTTTCTTAAAACCTTTGCCACCGGACAGTGCTTGGGATTGCAGTCAGATGGCTTCCCTTTTCCTTTTAAGGAACCCCACCCCCTGTTTTGCCAAGATTGGTGAAATGGTTAAAGATGGTAAAACATAATGATGGAGTAGTTAGTTCTTGCAAGTGAATTCTTCCCGTGGGCATCAGTGGGCAGGTACTATACTAGATGGCAACGAAGGGATAAACACCCAGGAACTGATTTAATTCGGAGCAGTGAGATGCACATTTAAGAATAACCAGCTTTAAATTAATTCTTCTATTAAAGGTGGCAGATTGAAAGAATCTTAAAACTGCTTACGATACCAGCTGAGCTCTTTGATTATAAGTCTAGCTTCTACAGATCTTAAGTAGCCATAGGTAGGCTAAGATTCAAGTCAATCACTTAAGACATTTTTCTCCAGGTTACTAGTCCTTTTGAGACAGGGGTGGGGGTTTGAGTATCTCTAATTGAGGAGCTCCTTCAGAGTTTTCTGGTTATCCCTTGTGTGTTTTTGAAATAGCAATGGAATAAAACTGTCTGATGAGAAAATTCCCGTTGCTATCTCATTACAGTTAAAATGCAGATCTTTGTGAAGACCCTGACGGGCAAGACCATCACCCTGGAGGTGGAGCCGAGCGACACCATTGAGAACGTCAAGGCCAAGATCCAGGACAAAGAGGGCATTCCCCCGGACCAGCAGAGGCTGATCTTTGCCGGCAAGCAGCTGGAAGATGGCCGCACCCTCTCCGACTACAACATCCAGAAGGAGTCCACCCTCCACCTGGTCCTGCGCCTGAGGGGAGGCATGCAGATCTTTGTGAAGACCCTGACGGGCAAGACCATCACCCTGGAGGTGGAGCCGAGTGACACCATTGAGAACGTCAAGGCCAAGATCCAGGACAAAGAGGGCATTCCCCCGGACCAGCAGAGGCTGATCTTTGCCGGCAAGCAGCTGGAAGATGGCCGCACCCTCTCCGACTACAACATCCAGAAGGAGTCCACCCTCCACCTGGTCCTGCGCCTGAGGGGAGGCATGCAGATCTTTGTGAAGACCCTGACGGGCAAGACCATCACCCTGGAGGTGGAGCCGAGTGACACCATTGAGAACGTGAAGGCCAAGATCCAGGACAAAGAGGGCATTCCCCCGGACCAGCAGAGGCTGATCTTTGCCGGCAAGCAGCTGGAAGATGGCCGCACCCTCTCCGACTACAACATCCAGAAGGAGTCCACCCTCCACCTGGTCCTGCGCCTGAGGGGAGGCATGCAGATCTTTGTGAAGACCCTGACGGGCAAGACCATCACCCTGGAGGTGGAGCCGAGTGACACCATTGAGAACGTGAAGGCCAAGATCCAGGACAAAGAGGGCATTCCCCCGGACCAGCAGAGGCTGATCTTTGCCGGCAAGCAGCTGGAAGATGGCCGCACCCTCTCCGACTACAACATCCAGAAGGAGTCCACCCTCCACCTGGTCCTGCGCCTGAGGGGAGGCATGCAGATCTTTGTGAAGACCCTGACGGGCAAGACCATCACCCTGGAGGTGGAGCCGAGTGACACCATTGAGAACGTGAAGGCCAAGATCCAGGACAAAGAGGGCATTCCCCCGGACCAGCAGAGGCTGATCTTTGCCGGCAAGCAGCTGGAAGATGGCCGCACCCTCTCCGACTACAACATCCAGAAGGAGTCCACCCTCCACCTGGTCCTGCGCCTGAGGGGAGGCATGCAGATCTTTGTGAAGACCCTGACGGGCAAGACCATCACCCTGGAGGTGGAGCCGAGTGACACCATTGAGAACGTGAAGGCCAAGATCCAGGACAAAGAGGGCATTCCCCCGGACCAGCAGAGGCTGATCTTTGCCGGCAAGCAGCTGGAAGATGGCCGCACCCTCTCCGACTACAACATCCAGAAGGAGTCCACCCTCCACCTGGTCCTGCGCCTGAGGGGAGGCATGCAGATCTTTGTGAAGACCCTGACGGGCAAGACCATCACCCTGGAGGTGGAGCCGAGTGACACCATTGAGAACGTGAAGGCCAAGATCCAGGACAAAGAGGGCATTCCCCCGGACCAGCAGAGGCTGATCTTTGCCGGCAAGCAGCTGGAAGATGGCCGCACCCTCTCCGACTACAACATCCAGAAGGAGTCCACCCTCCACCTGGTCCTGCGCCTGAGGGGAGGCATGCAGATCTTTGTGAAGACCCTGACCGGCAAGACCATCACCCTGGAGGTGGAACCGAGTGACACCATTGAGAACGTCAAGGCCAAGATCCAGGACAAAGAGGGCATTCCCCCGGACCAGCAGAGGCTGATCTTTGCCGGCAAGCAGCTGGAAGATGGCCGCACCCTCTCCGACTACAACATCCAGAAGGAGTCCACCCTCCACCTGGTCCTGCGCCTGAGGGGAGGCTGCTAGATGTTATGAACAATTTGAGAAGTTGCCAATAGTGTTTGTTTGCACTGTACTAGTGTAATGTCTAAATGTTGTGAGGTGTAAACGCAAGTTCGGTAATTGCCAGCCCTGTATGGGTAAATGCTAATAAAGTTTTCCCTTGCACGTTGCATCTTGGTCCTTGTGAGTTGTGAAAGGGGCACTTAAAAGTGGGACCTCGCAGAAGCCTGTGCTGCAGGGTCAGAAGACCAAGCAGTCGTAAGATCGAATCCACACGATGGAGTGAGCTCCCGTCGCTTGTCCCAGCTCCCGCCAACCTAGCGGTTTGAAAGCATGCAAATGCAAGTAGATAAATAGGGACCACTTCAGTGGGAAGGTAACAGCGTTCAGTGTCTTAAGTCGCACTGGCCATGTGACCATGGAAGATTGTCTTCGGACAAAACGCTGGCTCTATGGCTTGGAAACGGGGATGAGCACCGCCCCCTAGAGTTGAACATGACTGGACAAAAATTGTCAAGGGGAACCTTTACCTTTACCTTATTACACCTATGCCAATTGGAAAATACTGTTTTTTATTCAAAAGTCAGTGGAATAAAACACAGGGAAGGATGCAGGGCAGGTTGTTTTGTTTTGTTTTTGGCAGTCCAAACCCCAAAATTCTCCGTTCTGGGAGTTCTCCCTGACAAGGCCAGAAACCTTACAGGCAATTAAATGTGCTTCGCCGAAAGGAAGGCTTTGCAATCATGCTCCTAGTTTCCTGTTCAAAATGAGCTCTCGGGTGTTACCAGGAAGCATGGGTGGAGCTAGGCCTTTTTCCCCGGGTGAGCCACAGTAAGCTGCTTGTAGAGCTGGCAGAGTGGGAGTGCGCAAGTGGTGCATTTCAAACTTATCTCAGTTAAATACAGGGACTTCCAGGACCCAATCATTCTTTTGCATATTACTAGACTTGTGCAGGGAATCTGGAACAATTCCAGCTGTTCTTACTGGGGATGGAGCCATCATTCTACCCTGCTTGCCATATATGGTTCTTCCCTTGTGCTTGTCATAAAAGCCCCAGTCAGTTACATAAAAGAGTACATGAAATTACAAGTGTTTTGGGGAAGAAAATTCCAGTGAAAACAAGCAGCACGATAAACCAAACTACTGTGTTTGTTGTACATGTGTGCTGTCTTTCTCCTTGGTAGGACTCAAAAAACAGTTCTTCAGGCGATCAGAGTATTAAAACTGAAAAAATCTTTTTAAGCAGGTCATATTTCAAATGCTTGTGTATGGAATTCCTGGTGTGCAAAGAGGAGAGCAGGGTAACCTGTTGGGCACACCCTGGTCTAGTTTGCAATTTCCGTCCCTTTGTCTTCTGGAGAGCCGTGCGTTCACCTCCGGAGAACCAGCACTTTGGTCCTAGAAGAAAGTCTGGGGGTTTTGCAGTTTCAAGTGCCATCCATCCGGGTGCTCCTTCCTTATCAGATTGGCTGCTGCTTCTCTGCAGCACTCTGTAGGTGCCTTTTGGTGCTGATATTTGTGAATTGCAGGGCACCGCTTTCCTCAGAACATGGGATGTTCTCCAGAAGTGAGAAAAAAGGTTTTGGTGCACTTCCCAAGGGTGGCAAGTGGGCCAGCTTTTAATATAGGCCCTAGCTGGCTATGTGATATTTATTTATTTGATTTGTATCCTGCCCATCACATGTTAAGAGGTTTTCAATTCATGAAGATTACATGGGCCAGATTTCCAGTTTTCTCTTTAACCAGACGGTGTCAGTGTTACTTTATGAAAACTACAGTAAGCCTTGTTTTTTTTAGCAGCCTGCATTGCACACAGTAGCGGTCGTAGGAATACACCCTGTCTGTGCAAATCCCTGCCATAGAGAACAGCCATGTGTAATTAAAAGTCTTAGGTGCCTAAACTAGCCCGCTGCTCTTGGGGTCGACAGCAACAGTTTGTGATTCAAGGTGTTTTAAAGTGCTAAGGAGGTTTGGCTTTTCAGCCACATTGACTAATACGTCTTGGGCACTCTCTGTGTGTTACCGGCATCCAGTGACAATGAGTTCCTCAGGCCACCGGGGCTTGCTTACTTGTGCCAGCAGCCTCCAACATCTGCTCCAGCAGCTTGAGGGTGATGGTTCTGGCTGTTCTTTGTCTCTCGCCAGCTTGAGGTCTGCTGTCTTCAATTGAATTTGAGACCTATATCGGACAAAAAAACCAAAACAAAAATGTGAGTAACATCACTATCTGCAACTTGACAGCCTGTCCCTTCACTAATGAATCATCATCCCCTTGACCATGATCCATATATCCCCACCCCTGGTTGTGGGGCCATCCATCGCTAAATGTGAGAGTCATGCAGGTTCACTCTTGTATCTGAGGATGTGGACTTGATTCACAGAAGCTCACATTAAAATATAGCAGTTTTTAAGCTATCACAATGTTTTTTTGTGTGTGTGTGCCCCCCTCCATTTGTCAGATATGCTCAGGCATCTCTGAAAACTGACATCCTCAAATCCACCTTTTCTTCCAGAAGGGCTTATCTTTGCCTCCTGAAAGCCTGGCTAGAACAGATCTTCCATCTGCCTAGAGCCTCATCTTTGGTTTGCAAATGGTTCCCATTAAGTTACTAGTCCATAACATTCAAAACAAAAGCCTGCCTCTTCACACATATGTATGTACATGTGAAATAATAGCAATTTAGAAGGGGGAGAAAAACCCACCCAATTCTCTTTCAGACTCCTGATAGTTTAATAGTCTAAAAGTGGTTCCTCCTCCTCCTTAGAGGCAATCAGACCTATTTAGCAGCCTTGGGCAAGAATTATGGGAGCTGTAGTTGCAGCATCTGGAGAGCCAAAGTTTCTCTGTCCTTGATTGGCATGTCTGTCAGCATTGGGCACAAGAAAAAAAGTTCAAAGCGTGCCTTTTTTGGGCTGCAGCCTCGCACCAGATCCCGTAGTCATGGGTAACCCAACAAGGAGGTAATAAGAAAGCAATACAACCACACATTTTTTTTTGTTTACCTGTTTGTGACCAGCAGAAAGGAGTCCAGGAATTCTGAGATGCTGTCTGGGACTTGGCCGAGGGTGCAGGGGCTAGGAGGCTTACAAAATTAGTAGTAGGTGTCCCCCTTTAGAAATCCTTCTGGGGAAGTGCTGCCAGAGCCTAGAATTTAGGTGCTTGGCCCTAACTGTCCTATAGAAATCCCACAGGGCCCCAGGGAGGAAAGTCCAAGCCGCAAATGTCACTTAAAGCCCCTCTTAACCACAATTCTATTATTTTTCTAACTTTCTTAAACATACAAGGTTTCGGTCCTTGAACAGTGATGTGTTCTATTATTTTATGAATGTCCCGCTTTTCCCCAAATATAAGAGGCCGAGGCCACTGGATGCAGCCGAAAACACAATTTCGACCTGAAAAAAGGCTTCTCTGTTTGCACGCGTGAACACGTCTTACCTTCCAGCAGAATAGGCGGCGGTAGAAAGCTATGAGAGACACAAGGAGGGGAAAGAGAAGGCCAGTCATTCCAAAAACCTGACCTTCTGGGAATTCACAGAGGACGGCTCGAAGAACCAGAGTTGCAGGGAACTTTAACCTTTCACAGTCCATGTCAATCTGAAGGCCCTCAAGGCAAGACGGGGAAAGTTATGATACTTTGGATCAGGGAAAGGGGTGCAGACCTCCAGTGAAGCCCAAAGGGCCAAGCTGCAACCCCGGGAAAGCCAGGTTCAGCCGTAGGGCCCAAGGTTCCCCACACCCTTGAACATAAAAACACCCCAAGTGGGACATTTGGAATGAAATCAAAGTTCATATACATCCGACAAGGGTGCTGACCCTGATTCTCTTAGGGTGTGAAACTTAGCCCTTTCTCTCCCCCCCCCCTGCCAACACCAAGCTCTTAAGCCTTGATACTTCCTGGTGCTTTCACTGGAAATGGGTCTGGGGTTTGTTTATTACCATCTTCTGCTCCACAAGTCTGTGGATTTCAGCCTGAAGCCCACGCATCTGTTCCTCGGCTCTTGCTTGCATTTCGTAGCGGATCTGCCTCTCCTGAAAGACGCACGTTGGGAGAGAGGAGTCAAGCACCCGGAGGACACCCGTAGAATTTCCGAGGCTAAGCCAGGTGGCCCCTGGTTTGTCCTCGGATGGGGGGCCACCGGGCAGTCCCTGAGATCTCCAGACAGGACGAGGATTTTCAGCTGAAACCTTGGGTGGCCACGGTTTGCCCTCTAGATTTGGCAAAGGGGCTTAGGGCAACCACAGGTCTGTGCCCCTGGGTGGAGCAAAACGCTTTCACTCATCATCATCACAAACACACAAGACTGTGCTTTAATCTTCCCACATCATAGATGGAGAACGGAGAATGGCGGATGAATGGTGCCAACGTAGCCACCCTGAGTCCCCTTTACTGGGTTAAAAAATAAGGCATAAAATGCATTAAAATAAATAAAACGAGTTTTCATGTCTGGAAGAGCATACCGGAGACAGCTCCTCCTCCAGGCGGATCTTCTGCATTTCAGATTTCCTCTTGGCCTCTTCAAAAAGCTGTGTGACCCGAATTTCTTCTTGCCTTCCAGAGAAGGAATGGTAGGAAGAGGGGGGCGGATTTGCTTATCACATCACAGTTGAAGGCTCCAATTTGTCTGGCTCTACTAAGGTAAAACATTCCCAGCATAATTGTTAAACTGGCCCCAACCAGAACCCTCAGGTTTCTATTGTGTGTTGCAGTTGGGAAGAAATTGAGCTTTTACCTCTTCTCTTCTTCCTCTCTGAACATCCGGAGTCTCTCCTGTTGTTCAGTCTTCTCCACCCGCTGCCTCTGTAGCAGCTCCCGTTCCTCTCTGGAAAGATGGCGTTCAGGAACTGCAAAAAAAAAGGGGGGGAGCAAGGAGAGAAAAAGCAGCAGCACAAAACATGGTAAGGAGCGCGTCGTCTGGATGTGACCTCAGTTTCTGGTAGGAAGCAGAAGGAGAACTGAAAACAGAAGTGCCATGTCTGGACGAATCCTTGATTATAGGATTCATTACATTTCCCCAAGAGTTGATCTGACTGTCCGAAAGCGCCTTGTTCGCCTCCCATCTTCCGCTTTCATCCTCGGTGGTGACACGCTTCGCAAGGCCCTGCAGCTCCATAGAGGAAATGCTGAATTTGGTGTAGGCGAAAGAAAGAATGGATGAGAGCCATGTTTTGCCCCTGCCACACTCGTCCAGTATTAAAATGAAAAAAAACAACAACACGGTGATTGAAAGAACAAGTTAGCTATGTTCATTTCAAAAGCTCAGGGCTCACAAACCCCGAACACAAGCTACAGCGCCTTACTTTGAGTAGGATCATGGACTGGGAAGAGTTCCTCATCCTCACTGTGCAGCTGTCTGTTTAGTTCTTCAAATAAATGTTTTCTTATCGTATCTTAGAAGGCATGGACGGAATACAGAATGCCCGTCTCCGTGCTGGGAACAGCGTTGTCTTTCTAGAGCGTGAAAACATTGCCTTTTCTGGAGCCCAGTGTCCAGAAAATGGAAAATCCAGCGCATAGCCCATGGCTGTTTGGGCTACAGAATGCTGGGAACTGTGATGCAAAAAACAGACAACAACAAATACACACACACATACACACACAAACCCAGAAGCCATTTGCCCAAGATTTGATCTGACTGTCCAAAAGCACCTTGTTCGCCTCCCGTCTTCCGCTTTCATCCTCAGTGGTGACACACTTCACAAGGCCCTGCAGCTCCATGGAGGAAATGCTGAATTTGGTGTAGGCAAAAGAATGAATGAATGAGAGCCGTGTTTTGCCTCTGCCACACCCATCAGTATTAAAATGAAAAAAAAACACGGTGATTGAAAGAACAAGTTAGCTATTTTCATTTCAAAAGCTCGGGGCTCACAAGCCCCGAACACAAGCTACAGCGCCTTACTTTGAGTAGGATAATGGACTGGGAAGAGGTCCTCATCCTCTCTGTGCAGCTGTCCGTTTAGTTCTTCAAAGAAATGTTTTCTTATCGTATCTTGGAAGGCATGGACGGACAACGACGGCCCTCCAGTCTTCGGTGTCGCTTCCAACTCTGTCATCTATTCTAGGGCAACGGGCAGACAAACCAGCGTTTGCTTGAGGATAGTTGGAATGGATGAGTATTGGTTTTCCTTTCAAGAAATCCACATTTTTTTAAAAAAGGCAGGAATTGTAAACATTAAGAAAAGATAGAGATGCAAACAGAAAATCTCACTCAATAGTAGATTTGGGGGAAACGTTATAAAAAGTAGGTCATACATTTCCTGATGGAAACAGGAAAATAATCACAACGCACATCACTCTTGATTTACCTAGTTTGGCACTGCTGACTGTAACTGGTGACAGCTTTCCAGGGGTTTAAAACAGGTGCTCTTTTTAAACTCAGCCTAAATGCTTTTAAACTCAATCTGCCACAGACTGAATCTAAGCCTACAGCTATACAGAGCCGTGGATTTGCTCCTGTCCTAGGCAGAGCAAGGCGCTAGGCCTCATCGTTCTCAATAAAGGCTTAAATACAAACGTAAGTAATTCCTCTCGTGCAAAGTTATACCATCTCAGGATTGCATAATCAGCTCACGGGTTTCCAGTCAAGTCAATACGGTTCGGTGAACATTCAGACCAAACCCAGCTGCTTTTGATTGTGCCTTGTTGTATTTTACGGTTAGCTTTGCTTTAGTTGACCTCTTGCCTTCCGTGACGAAGAGGGCGTGAGAGATTGCGATTGAAAGCTTGAACTATTTAAACAAGAAATAAGTACTGTTACGGCTAGAACCCCGTGAGCTGTTTATGCAAAGCGCTCCTCGTGAAAAACTGGGAACTCTCATCTCAGGAATGTTTAGAGGGGCTGGTGACAGGAGCTGTCCATGGTATCAGGGAAAGGTCTTTCTCTTTTAGCTGAAGAGGAAACTGTGAAGTAAGCTCTAGCTGCTAACCACAAGATTCTAGTCCTCATAGTCCTGGTTAAATAAAGCTGGTGCATGTGGGAACTGATGGCAATGCTTCACTCAGGGATGGGGGAATTAAGGCACGGCATGGGTCTGTCTCCAACTCCGCTACCTTGAGCCTCTTTCTTGACAAAAGGTCAGAACCTAATTAAAATTAATTAAATTTAATTGTACAGGCTGCCTAGAAGTACCTCTTCATGGGGGTCAGGCAGAGTCTTTTCCTAGCCAGTACTGAACCGAGGGGTTTGGAATCAAATTCAGGGTCGATCGCTAAGCTTCTGCCGTTTCCCTTCTCCTCATGCGCAGAAAGGCAGTCAAAAGGGTCTCCCTCAAAAACGAGTTCCATCCTCTCTCTTCTTTAATCTTCAAAAGGGTCTCTCTCAAAAACGAGTTCCATCCTCTCTCTTCTTTTGTACCGACTCCATGTTATCCCAGCCCTGAAGCACCACCGGTTCATGAAACCACTGGCATCTTACGATACTCTAAAGAGAAGGGTTTTTACATACAGATTGACACTCAAGCAGCTGGCCTTTGAGCAGCAGGAGAAAAACTGTCGCAAATACTGGGATGCCATTATAGGATGGCTGCTCGTGTCCCAGGATAGTTTGGTCCCAGATGTACAACAAGGTGTCCATTTGCAAATAGCCTACAAAAAAGAAAAAAAAATGTGTGTGTTGTGAGACACAATTCTTCCTCTAGAAAACATGCACATGCTGCAGAGAAGAGCCAGTGTGATAAAGAGGTTAAAAAATGGTAATTCAACTTGGCAAGTGTCATCCATGGGTTAGTTACACTATGTCTTGACTACTGCAATGTGCTTACCCTGGGATTGCCCTTGGAGATGGTTTGGAAGCTTCAGTCGGTGCACCAGGTGGCATTGAGGCTACTAAGCGGTGCAAAAAGATGATATGAACTCATGACTGAAAGACCTGACTCTGGTTGCCCTTTGCTTATGGGGTGCACTGGGAGGTGCTGGTTTTAAGCACCAATGCCTCTCTCTCTCTCTCTCTCTAAATATATACAGGCCTTTTTCCTGCTTTGTCCAGGGGGAATCTTACCAACGAACAGAGTGCTGAGAGGTACTTGGAACAGACGTCTGACACCTTTTAGGAGGGCTTCCCGGGAATCTTGGCCTGCAAAAAAAGCAACAGATGAAATATTTTGCTCCCCACAGTAGATAAGAGAGACAGAGCGTGTTTCTCGGGTGGTGTGCAAATTTCCACTAAAGTAGGAGGCGTACCTGAAACATGCCGCCTGTAGCCCAAAAGGCAGGGTTTTCACAGCAACACGTGGCCAAATTGCAGGGTTTAAAAAAATTATTGTTCCGAGTCACTCCAAAGCAGAATTACTTGGTTGTATGTAAATGCTCTCCAGGAACCTGGTCAAATCTCCATCTGTTTGCTCAAGGAGCGAAGCAGCCTTTCCCACCACACTGGCTTGGTTGGGATCCTAGGAAAAAACATTTGAAAAAGAAGTCAAGTTGTACCGGGTGGAGGAGAGGAGAAGGGATGGCCACTGGACATCCTATGAGATTCATGGCTTGGCGGCCACTACAACCCTGATCTCCCAAATCTGCATGAAGGACTCTACCCATTGCACCACATTACTGATGGCATAAATGGCTTTAATTGGTTATTTTTCACTGTAAATGCCAAGGACTGGTCTGATGATGTTCTGTGCCTAAAGCAAGTGCTCCGATACTGTTCCTTTTATCTTTCCCTGGGGACGTTACAAAGGCGAGACCGCTGTACGTTAAATCTGGAGACAAAGAAATCTTACACAGTCCAGCCGTAGCTTCATGAATGTCACAAATTCTTCAACCAGGAGGGCAGAAACCGAGTCCACGGAGACGGTGGGGGAAGCCACGTCCCAGGAGGAGCACCGGCAGATAGTAAACTCGGTCCTGAAGAGGCGTGGACAGACCCTGAAGCTTGTGGTAGTAAGAGAGCACATTCTTCAAGATCCTCGGTGCAGCTGAGCAAAGAGGCTTCCCTGAGGGAACAACAGCAACAATAATAATACAGTAATAGGTCTTTCGTTCAAACTTGTGATCTGCTCTAGAATACCACACAGCGCTGTTATCATGATAGAACAGATATAAACATGGATGAATTAATGGATTCGTTCATCCTATTTTTTTTTATTTTTTATTTTTTGCTAGAGGAGGTGCCATATTTTACCTCAGGCACCTCAGACATCGGCTGCCTTGGGTCCTTTTAAGGAGAATGGCCCCCCACCTCAGGCCGTTTGGTTCAAAGGGGCCTCTTTTTCAGGATGGCCGAGGGAAGGAAAACGAGGAGCCCCGTCCCCTGCCCTTCCTAGGCTCGCCCTTCCCCACCGCCCGCCGGCCCGGCCAGGTCGGCCAGGCCAGGCTTATGGGAGGCGAGTTTCCTCTCTTTCTCTTTGATTTTGGGGGGACTGACCCACCCCAACCCCCTCAGGGCGCCGTCGTCCTCCCGCCCTCCCTCCGTCCAGCCCCCCTTCGGCCATGGCCCTCCTCGGATGGCCTTTCCTCCCTTTTCCTCCTTCTCCTCCGGCCTTTCCCCTCAAAGAAAAGGGCCGCAACCTCGATTGCCACACTTTCTCTTTCCCTTTTCCTGTCAGCCTTCTCTCAGCCTCCGGCCAAGCACGGGAGGGGAAGGTTCCCGAGTCATCTGGGCTTCTGAGCATGGCCAGAGTGCCTTTCCCTGGCCCCAGGGCCGCTCGAACCAAGAGGCTTCCCTGAGGGAACAACAACAATAGGTCTTTTGTTGAAACTTGTGATCTGCTCTAGAATACCACACAGTGCTGTTATCATGATAGAATAGATATAAACATGGATTAATTAATGGATTTGTTCATTTTTTTTCTTTTTTCTTTTTTTGCTGAAGGAGGTGCCATATTTTACCTCAGGCACCTCAGACGTCGGCCGCCTCGGGTCCTTTTAAGGAGAATGGCCGAGTGAAAAAATAGGAATGAATAGATCCATGAATCGATTTTGGGCCGGCCTGAGGGACCCTCCGCCTCAGTTTTGACCTGGGGGGGGTTAGGCTTTTGTGTGGCCTCAGGCGGCAAAATGGCTGGGGCTGCTGGACCCTGTCCGGGTCTATGAAACTTTGCGCTGAGCCCTTGTGGCTCCCTCAGGGGGCGGGGATTCTGGGAGTGGTAGTCACCCAACCCAAAAAAGGGACGTTTCAAACCTCCCAAACGGAATTTCTATCAGTACTGTATAAATACGGCAGCTACTGTGGGATGGAGGAAATGAAGGAGCCATTAGCTTCCATTAAGTGCCCTCGGCGCTTCCAGGAACCAGTTAATGGGCGCCTTGGCAAGAAAGGAGGCCCTCAGACACATTAAAAATATTGAGCATTAGAGAGGAAGACAAGGGACGATGGTGGCCAAAAAACGGTGGTGAAATAAACAGAGTTTCCTCACACATTTCACAGAAAATATCATTCCACCGTGCAAAATCAGCCGGAACAAGTGGAGATTTTTGAGATAGATAAGAGGACGAGACCTTTGGGTTTTTGCTTTATTGTTGTTGTAGACTGTAGTCATTTCTCATGCAAGACAACAGTCAGGAAATGTGAAAAACGAGGAGCTCGTTTTAAGGAAAGCGAGGTGATTTGGACGGTGTGGGAACGAGTCAAGTCTCACCGTGGCCGATGTTATCCCGTGCCATCGCAAACTTACACTCATGAGACAACAGGGCAAACATTTATCCTTTTATACATGGCCCCAAACCAGAGACTGTATTTGGGCACAAGTTGTTGGCCTGGCAATGATATTCCGTTCCCCTCCTAGGAAGCATTTTTCTGTAAACAGTGACACTAGTGGCTTAATCCCAGGCTATAGATAACGAACAACATGCTCATCATGACTAATCGCTAATAGGACTTGTGAGCCGAGGCTGGTAGAGAGTGAGGAAATGTAGAGGGGGATCTCAGCAGAGAAAACACAAGTTTTTACATTTTAGGGTGACCTAGGAAACCTTGGCTGATATTGAGACCACTGGGATGGGTTTTAAACATATGTATGTATTTGATCTCATCTCTCTCTCTCTCTCTCTCTGGATTCTTGTCCTGTACGTTTCGTTCTCCTGAACGGCCACGTTTTGTCTCCAGAGGAGGATGTTTGCCAAGGGCACTGAAAGATAAATATGCAGGTGCCGCAAGACAGCCCAGCCTTTTGAGATGGGTCCCAGCTGTCAGTGGGCTGGTTTGCCAGGAATGGTTCGGAGGCATCCACCTGCAGGCGCCTCTCCTGATCCCATCTGGAAACCCAAGCGGGGAAATCCACGGCAGCCTTTTCTCGGGCGGTCTGTCTGTGGCTTGCAACAGTGACCTAGCAGAGTCTCCTGCACCACGGAAGCTATTTGTTCCCAGAAAATTTTAGTTTTTCCCCCCATTGCACTTGGGAATGTCATCAGCATAGTTCATCTCCACGTCTTCCTCTTGCATTTGGGTAAGCGAATCTTATCTCACCTTTTTGCAGAATTCATCTTTCCGCAAAAAGAGCTAGTTTTAAAATCTGGTTTTGATGGGAGCTCTTGTTTTCGTTCTCCCCGCCCCGCTCCCTTTCCTTTACTGAGCTTACATTGTCTCTTCGCAAGGACTCTTTTGTAGGGACGAGGAGCTTTTACAGGTTTCTTTAGGACTAAAGGGCTAGCTTGGGAGCTGTTGTTGTTGGTATTGTTGTTGTTGTTATGTGCCTTCAAGTCATCCCCGACCCATGGCTCCCCTATGAATGACCATCTCCGAAATGTCCCGTCCTCAACAGCCCTGCACAGCTCTTGCAAACTCAAAAGTCGTGGCTTCCTGAGGGAGTCAGTCCATCTAACATTCGACCTTCCTCTTTTAGGACAGCTTTAGTGTCAACATTTTTGCCTCCAGAGATAGTTCAGGCTTGATTTGATCTAGGACCCACTTGTTTGTCTTTGTGGCAATCTGAGGTATCCCCAAAGCTATCCTCCAGCACATTTAAAAAAAATCAATCCCCCCCCACATCAGCTTTTCTTTTTACTCTTCGGCTTTCACACCCATACCTGGTGATTGGAAATACGATAGCGTGGAAGATCTTGGTTTTCATCTCGGCATGGAGAGGCTAATTTTTTTTTTTACTGCACATCTTCCCTGTCTGCACCACATGCTCTGTCTGCCAACATGGTGTTTTTTTCTGGGCTTCCTCTTTTATCTTACTCGAGGGTGAAGGGAGTCGATCTTTGCTATTTCAAGAAAATCGGTTCGACAAAGGGTGTTTCTGTGCCTCTGTGCCTTTTCCGCCGGCTGTGAGCTTGCAAAGCAACTTGTGATTAACACAAGGGGCAAAACCACAGGGTGGAGGAAGCTTCAGAAGAGGAAAAACTGAAACAACATTTTAGCCATAGAAGAAACTAAAGCCTCAATTTCTCAGCCAAGCAGAGGTAACACAGACAGAGGATAGCAATATTCTGGCATCTCCAAACTTTGGAACGATGCTGAGATCCTCCATTGCATCTCTAATACAAATTTAACTACCTCTGTGGGAACTTCTTCTGGCTTTTTTCACCCCTCACCCCTCCGAGTCTTAATATTTCCACCACTTCTGTTTCAGGATCCGTAGATCTTCTTTGGCTGTACCAAAGCCAGGTTCATTTTTTTAAAAATGCAGATTTGACCCATGCTAAAAAGGTAAGATTTGTTTCATTTAATTTTATGTGTCTCAGAGGCTTCGCCATGGCAAAAATTCAAGTTCTTAATGAGGCTGGGCTTTGGCCGTCGTAGTAGGAGCTGAAATTCAGCATTCCGATTGCTTCCTGTAACAAAGCAGTACGAAACCCTGTTGTAAAGTAAGTACATCACTATCCATAGTGCTGGCCACACTTGGGGGGTGGGAAGAGTGTTGTTTCTCAAGTTTTGAATGATCTATTCCCCCCTCTCCTCCCTCTGGCTTTCTTGGACTAAATGGTGGAGGCTTAATTTAGGATAGAAAGTGGATGATGGGTATAATTTCAAATGCTAAACCCTAAGCCAGAAATGGGTAGATTTAAGAGTAGAGAGTACTTAAGAGCATGTGCAGAATGCTACTGAAGAAATGCATAGATTTAAGAGTAGAGAGTACTGTACTTAAGAGCATGTGCAGAATGCTACTGCCACTGGGATGAAGAAATTGGTTTACTTAGCTCATAAGGTGTGGTTTTAAAGAGGAAAATTGCTGCCCATATAGATTGAGTGAGCCTATGGCAAGCTGGTACAAAAATATGGAGAAACCAGACCTGTTGGATTTCAGCCTTTTTTTAACCCCCAACTTCATTATATTTCTCTTCCTCTTTTGTCTCCTTCTGTACTGTAAGGCTTTAGGCAGTGGAGGTCGACTTTTGTGGCCCTACAGATGTTATTGGAATACAAATCCCATTATTCCTTGCCAATGAGGCTGTTGGCCATAGCTGATGAAAACTGTAGTCCAGCAACACTGAGAAGGACATAAAATAGCTCCCTGGATCTAAGGGAAGCGGCCTTCTCGTTGCTTGCTATGGGATTGTTACCCCCCTCCAGGAAAGTAAAAATTGTAGCAGTAATAATGACAACAACAATAATATTTTTTCATACAGAAAAGAGTTTGGGGAGGTGCATCTGTTTGTGTTTTGCCTTTTTGTTGTTGTTTTAGAACAGAGCTGGGTTTAATTCACAATGAAACAGATTAAAAATTAAAGTATTGCCTCCTTTCCCACATTTCCCGACTAGCTGCCGTTGAGTCAGTCCTTACCCTTTAAATTTTTTCTTCCAAGATTACTCTACTGTCGATAATGCATAATATGATGGTTTTCCCCCCTCTTGTTTTTAATGGATAAATCCATTAGCTTATGCTTCTTGGGAGAACCACTCTATTAACTGGGTTCCAGCTTCCAGCTCCAGCCTCTTTATACAGTTTTGATTTACGCATGGCGAATCCTGCGGCATGAGGCAGCTCAGGAGAAGTCCTAACAGATTTCTCTGCAAGAGGAAAGGTCCAGCTCATTTAGCTGAAGAAACCTGCACCATTTTGTATGGTAGGTTGCCCAAAGCTGTTTCCTAACATATAAGCTTCTGAATTTTTGGTTTCTTTGGTTTGGGATTCGTACGGTCTGGGAAACGAGGTGGGCGGGGGAGGGACCACAGATTAGAGCCATACAGACAATGAAAGATGGTTTTTTGGACAGTTATTGGAATAATATATGTGTCTGTGTCATCTTTTCCAAGATTATTTCGGACTATGTGGCTAGTGACACTGTTGCGATGTTGGGTTTTGATATTGAATATTTTGGTGCAAAAGACTGCATCTCTGCGCGGGGAAAGCTAGGAGCTGTAATCCACTTGGCAAGCCCAGCTATTATTTAATCGTTGCAATTATTATGAGTGGGCTGGATCGCTCCGTGGTTTAAGTATCAAGGCCTCCGTGGGGAGAACAGCCAGCCTCGGTGGCCTTGGGCAAGCCGCACAGTCTCAGGGCCCCTGTAAAACCCTGAAAAGATTCACCAAGATTCAGAATTGACTCGACACATGATTATTACTCATCATATTTTGCACTTCTGCTAATGGCACGCATGGTTCCCGCCTCCTCACTTCATCCCTTACAACACGCCAGTGAGGCAGGCCAGCCTGGGGAAAAGGAGAGACCAGCAGGAAGGGGCCCAGTCAGTTTTCAAGGCCAAGGTATTTCCAACCCCAATCCGAAAGTTTAACCATTGCTCTGCGCTGCTTTATGAGTACTATTTCCAGAAGAGGTGGAGATAATAGGTTAGAAGTCCGAATGGTATCGATGGAGCAGGACCGGAAAGAAATGGGTTCTAATCCTTCCCCTGGCCAGGAAATTCAGTAGGAGACCTTGGGGTCAGGTACATACTCTCAACGTGTCCCGCCTCACAAGGTTGTGGTTGCTATAAAAATGGGACAGAAAAGAAAGCCAGTACAGATAGCTGAAGTGCAAATAATATATTTTGAGGTATTTCCCATGATCCACAAATTCTTCTGTCCTTTTCTTTCCAGCATCTTTGACTGGAGGATGCAGGGGAACCCGCTGAGGCTTGAGACCTATGATGGCTCAGACAGTGACCAAGAGGCAGCTGAGAAGTTGGATGATGGAGCAGACACGGAAAGCCCCCGGCCCTTTGACACCTCTTTCCAGAAGGAGGAGCAGCCTTCCCCAAGTATCAAGTTCAACATTCACTATGCACAGGGACACAACAAGTAAGGAGACGTCTTTTGGGGAGAGATAGTCCGCAAATTTCTGAGATGTCACACTTCCCCCTCATTTGAAAATGCAAGAAGGCATTCCAATAATGAGTCAGAGATAACGTAATTACTTTAAACATCTTGTTTTTCTTTCAAAAAAGAATGTGGTCATAATGAACTTGCATTTCAAAAGTTAATGCAACCAATGGAAAAAAATATGGCTTTATTTCCCTTGTAAGTGAAATTTTCTCATTTCTAATATTTCAGGGCATTTTTTTTCACGCACAATGTCTTGTCTCTCTAACACAGAGTAAAACAATATGTAAACAGAACAAGCTGAAAAGAAACTGGCTAGAATCAGCGCCGGTTCTATCCTTAGGCAGAGTGAGGTGGCTACTGGTTATTTATTGGCCCTGATCTAGAGACGGAGTGGTATTGGTGATATACTCTGCCTCTAGTACCACAATAACTGGGATGTTTTTTTAGCCTTAGAATGTGCCTCAGGCAGCAGAATGTCTTGGGTGAGCACTGGCTGGTGAATGGGAGGCACAGGTAGGAACGTGAGGGCCACTGGGGAGTCCAGGTTAGAACCTCAGACTCAGAAGACCCATGTTCGAAACCTGACATAGCTGGGAATCTCCTTCTACCTTCAGGGGACATGGATCCATGATCTCAGCCTGTTCTACCTCCCAAGGTCATTGTGAAGGGTAGGGAGGAAAATCATCAGCTCCAGGAGGGAAAAGCTGGTTACACACTTCAGATGGAGGGCTGTTCTCCCTAAAGGGGAGACAGAGGGCAATGCCCTGCTCTTGGATGGGGCTGGTGTTGGTTTATTTTTGTGCTTCTTCCACAGACCCAAAGACCCGAATCGCTTTGGCCGAGACCGCATCTTTGGTGCCGTCACGAGGGGGAATCCCAAGGAGCTGGAAGGCTTGAAGGAGTATTTGCTGAAAACGTTAAAGTTCCTCACTGACTCCGAATTCACAGGTAGCTGCTCTCCGGCCTGTTGTCAGGGCTAATCCTGACAACTCGTGGAGGAAGCAGGCAAGCTTTCGGGGCTTCACAGAACTGTTGGCCGTGTCGCTGAGGGCTAGCAGGATGCCTGGCCCAGAAGTCAACAGTTAGGGGAGACTTTGGGGAAGAAAAAATAATGAAACAGAGGAATGTGGTGTGGTGTGGGTGTAGTTCTTATGCTATTTGTCACAAATAAGAAAGTTCTGCAGCTCAAAAGGAAGCCGCTTGGCTTCTTCTCCAAAAGGGGAGCATAGCTGTGTTTTGGACTACAACTCCCACAATCCACAAGTGGCCATGCTGTGGGAGACTAGGATTGATAATCGAATGTGATAATTTACCTATAGTCTGGCCAAACTTTTCCATGCTCTTTTTTATAGTTTAAGATGAAGGGAAATATTTCCTAGCCCTCTGAAATAACCCCTGAAATGGGGACCTTCTCTATGCTAAGCTCTAGAATCAGTTTCTTCCACAACAGATGGCCGGAGTTTGCACTGAAATTTGTTTTTTTTTTCCCAGATGGAAAAACAGGCAAGACTTGCTTGATGAAAGCCCTGCTGAACTTAAAAGATGGAGGGAACCCCACCATCCCTTTGTTGCTGAGCATAGACGAGGAGACGCAGAACCCCAAACCCCTCGTTAATGTTCCTTGCAAGGATAACTACTACAAAGGTAAGAACATCTGTGTTTCGTTTGCAGATGAGCAAAAATTAGAATGAAGCATTTCCAGGCTGGGACACTCAAGTTTTGCCCTCTAGGTCAGTTCTCTGTCCTCAAACCAATCATTCTGCTATGCTAAAAAAAAATCTGTTACACCCTATCAAGTTTTATGCACATTTCTCCTAACATATGCATTTTGGCTACACAACTTTGCTCCATGGAATCAATTCTGCCAAGCTGTTCTGCTGATCAGCGTCTGCCCAGTCAATGCTACTCGTACACAGTCAAGCAGAAAGCTCTGTCTTCTTTGATTCAGCAAAGTCTGTTAAGTAATTAAGGAAATGAATATCGAGCGAGCAAGCAGTGTTTTAAAATCAAATGCCTGCTTAGCTGTAAATAGTTCTGAATTATCCACTTCTGCTATCAAGATGGTTTTGGAAGGGCTTCCTTAGAAAATACTGCATTTCTCAAGCATACCTGGAAGTTGGGTCATTCCCATATATGTTTCTCAACATATGTGGGAACTGGGCTTCTTTACCAGGTGCTTGTCTTGTGATACATGCTGCTCATGCTGGCGTTGTTTTCCCCAGGCCACACAGCTCTCCACATTGCCATCGAGAAGAGGAATCTCGGTTTAGTGAAGCTGCTGGTGGAGAACGGGGCAAACGTCCACGCCAAAGCTTGCGGCATGTTTTTCCAGCAGAGGAAGAAAGGGGCGTGCTTCTACTTTGGTAAGCTCCCTTTATAAACAGAAGGAACCTTAACTGACAACGCGTGGCTTTCTTAAATTTAGGTGTTGTTGTTTTAAGTCTGTTCCGGTGGTCTAGCATTCTGAAAAGAAGCAGCACGGAAGGAAAAGGGGAGGAGGAGGGAAGAGGAAAAAAGGAGTGTCTAGTCTGTCAATGGCACTGCTGGAATGGACTCGCTTCTCACGTCACATTTCTCTGCTGCAGACTGTATGAAAGGCAGTGAGCAGATAAATGAAGGAAAAGACTTCAAGACCAAAAAAGGAGTATTTTTGTCATGTAGGTGGAATTTTCCTTTTCCAATTCTGCTCAATTCTGATCTCTTTCTCTCTGTGTGTGTGTTCTCCAGGTGAGCTCCCCTTCTCCTTAGCCGCTTGCACAAACCAGCCAGAGGTGATGGACTATCTCCTGCATAATCCTCACCAGCAAGCCAGGCTGACCGAACAGGATTCTCTGGGCAACACTGTCCTGCACGCGTTAGTGACAGTGGCTGACAACACTGAGAAAAACACAGAGCTGGTCATCAAGATGTACAACATGATCCTGATGGAAGGTGCCAGGATCAACCCAACATGGAAAATGGAGGAAATTGTCAATAAGGAAGGGCTGACCCCTTTGAAATTGGCCGTCAAGACTGGCAAAGCAGAGGTAAATCAGGAGGCATCCATTCTTTTGTCAGTTCTGGTCTGACAAAAGCCTGCCTAACATTAATGCAAGAAGACACATCTTTTGCTTTGTATTCCTCTATCAAGCAGGGGATTGGATTTGTTTTTCTTATAGACCCCTTCTAACGTCATGATTCTAGGATTAGGCTGATTAATTTTTTTGCAATCAGACCTGCAGGACATTATTTACATCCCAATAATCAACTTTTTAATGTGCTTTTACAACCAGATATAATTCAGTACTTGATGGAGCACTGCTTCTAGATACAAGATCAGTGCATTGTCTAATTTGCTGTGTGAAATAAACCATCTGCTCATTGCTACTAAGTGAGTTCTGAGATATTTAAGACCAGGGGCTTCTTCCATTTGTGCCTCGGCCTTCATCCTATGTAAGCTATCCTATAAACTGATCCACTTTTTCTGTTCGCCACTAGATCTTCAAGCACATGATTCGCCGGGAGATCAAAGACCCTGATTTTCGGCATCTTTCACGCAAGTTCACTGAATGGACATATGGTCCAATCCACATTTCTCTCTACGATATGTCCTTCATTGACAGCTATGAAGAAAACTCCGTGCTCGAAATCCTTGCCTATAGCAATGACACACCAGTGAGTTCTCAGCTTGCAAAACTAGCTTTAAAAAAAGTAATTAATACCAGCTTAAAAGCCCATAAAATATTACCATGATGGTTAAACGTTTAGAAAAAAACACCTCTGCATTTTTACTGTTTTCCAAAAAAGGGCTAAAATATTTAATTATGGGTAACTTTTTCTACTTCCTCATTTAGGCTACATGCCTATAACTGTGAAAGTAACTAGAACAGTTAGAATTACAGTGCACAAATTATGAATTTATCCTCCATTAAGTTTCAAATGTGGCACAATTTGTTATTATTTGTTTACTTATTTTGAAGTATTTATACCCTGCCTTTCTCCTCAAGAAGATCCAGTTTGCAATAGTAAAAAAAATAACGTTTAGTTTGTTTACATCAAGGGGTTCTAGAACCGTGCCCTCTGGAAAGCTCATGACATACGATTTTGAATTCTCTCTCTCTCTCTTTCTCTCCCTCCTTCCTGAAACTCTTAGAATCGGTACAAAATGGTGGTTTTAGAGCCAGTGAACAAGCTACTCCAGCACAAATGGGACTCTTTTGCTGCCCGGAGGTTTTATCTCAGTTTTGCCTGCTACGTGATGTTCTTGATCATCTTCTCAGCTACTGCTTACCACTGGCGCCTGGATGGGAAGGTACCAAAGGCTGCTTTAGCATTCTGTGTGTGTGCACGTGCACGTGTGCATTCATGACCAAGTGTGTTAGACTACAAGGCCTATCCTCCCCAGCCAGCCTGGCCACAGCAGCAGTTGTCACCCAGCCCATCTGGAGGGCTCCGGTTTGGAGCGAGGTCTGCATAGCGCCTGTTTTACCCTATCACAACAGGATTGGTATGCCAGGCAACACAGCGTATCTCAGGCAGAGAAGTATTGCTCCCACTGCCTGCCACCTGATCTTTCCTTTTGGAGATACGAGGATTGAACTTGGGGCTTCCTGCAAGCAAACTGGTTTTTCAGTCACTGAGGCTTGGTGAAGTAAGGTTCTAGTCCTCATGGTTCACAATCCAGGTAGAACCATGGATAAAAGTGAGGCCCCTGGCGCTGTGCGTCTGGCTTCGCATTGCCTGCCCTGACTGGGAGCCACAGCTTTTCCAGGGTTGTAGGCAAGGAGTTCTTTTCCCTCCACTCTCTCTGAAGATGATGGGAACTGCACCGGAGACTATGGTTTGCATTAAAACCAAGTGGTTTTCCACTGCTTTATGGCTTCCTGGAAAGCAGGTTCATTTCAGGAGGGGCAGAGTCTCAGCGACATCAGAACGTGGTGATAAGGTCCAAACAGCAGCCTCCGGGGGTGGTGGTGGTGGTGGCACAATCTAAAAGCAAAGAAGGAGAAGCAAAGAGGAATTTCAGGAGGGGCAGAGCCTCAGCGACGTCAGAACGTGGTGATAAGGTCCAAACGGCAGCCTCCAGGGTGGTGGTGGTGGTGGCACATTCTAAAAGCAAAGAAGGAGAAGCAAAGAGGGAAGGAATCATTAAATCGATCTTTCTCTGTCCCTTAACAGAGCCTCCATCCTATTGCATGAATTGGGACATCTCACCCCCCCCGAACCCCAATGCCTTCGTCCCTAGTGAGGGGGGGGATTCTTACACTTTTCTGTTCATGCAAAGGTAGCCGTGTATGAGAGAGAGAGGATGGTTGTGAGGCTCGGGGTGTCTGGAGCAGTTTAGTCATCCCCACCCTGCTTTCTGTTTTCACAGCCCCCTTTCCCCATGACGCCATCCCCTGGGGACATATGGAGGCTCATCGGCCAGGTCATCGTCTTCTTAGGAGGCCTTTATCTCTTTTTGGCCCAGGTACCAGATTCCTCCCGTTGCTTCAATTTAGCATGCATTTAAGAACTTGCAGACACAGTAGGGACCCCCTTATCCACAGGATCAGTATCTCCACCATCTGACAATATTAAAACTACAGTATTAAAAGAAATCTCCTCAAATACATCCATTTAATGACAGAGTTACCAAAACCGGTCACTAGATGGAGCCAGAGATCATGCTATTAAACTAGCATTTTGCTACACTCTGCCTTTTTTGGCATCCTTTGGGTGGGGGAGGGGGGAGAGGCTTGGAACTGATTCCCCACGGATATGGGGTCCTACTGCACGTCCCGCTTATTAGCGTACTTCCCAGCCTATTATCTCTTTTCATTATGCAACATCATTGCTGCTGCAGCTCACCCTTCTAATGGTGGTATCCCTACTCATTCAATTTTAGAGTGTTTACCTGTGGAGGCGGCGCCAGTCCTGGAAGAGCCTGCTGGTGGATGGCTGCATTGAATTTTTTATGTATGTTGTAACGGGGAGGGGGACAGGAAAACCTGTTTGCATTTCAGAGATGTAATTCAGGCAAGAAAAGTAAAACGTGCCCCCATTTCAACAACCTAAAAACTGTAAAAAATACATATCAGATTAGGCATCCTTCAGTCTCAAAAGACTATGGTAGCGTGCTCTGGATCGAGGACTTGGGACAGCGTCTAGAGTGGCTGAGAAGGGCAATTCGAGAGTGACCATCCCTTCCACACTGAAGGAAAATACAATCTGTCCCCTGCCCAGCTCCCTGATTTTGCTGGTTTCGGGACTGCCTCTTTGCCTAAATACATATATTAGTGCACTAAAACTGAAGGGTAGCTTTGAAACCCCAAGGGTGTTTCCCCCCCCAGTCCTACTATCTGAAAGCCGTCGCTTGTCCTCCTCCTCCTGTTCTTTCAGATTTGTGCAATCAGCTGCCTTGCTGCTTGCAGCTGTGACCTACCTCGCAGGGTTGGAAGAACACGTGATTTTTCTGGTTTTCTCTCTGCTGCTGGGCTGGGTGAACGTCTTATATTACACGCGTGGCTTTCAGCAGATGGGGATCTACATTGTCATGATACAGAAGGTGAGTCTTGAGATGGGGGGGCTTTGTCCCCCAAAATATATATCTCTGACCCAAGAGTCTCTCCCACATCATCCTGCCTTCATCTGTTCAGAGGTTATTGGCATGGAATAGACCAGGAGTGGTCAGTCCTGGTGAGTCTACTATGTAATCCTAGATCGCAGGGAAATGTTCCTGTTAGGTGACTATGAGCGCTCCTACTTTAAAACAACAACAACAAAAAGGGGTGGGGGGCTTTTAGGGCCACACTGCTTCATCTGATCAGATCTACGGAGGGATGAGAATCATGGAGTTAGCAGGAGCTTTAGCTGAGGGGGGAGAGAATGGCTTCCTATGTCTACAGCAACTGAACACTTCGTGGGGGTCTTTAATCTTCTCTGCTGGGTTTTCCCTTGCAGGCCATCCTGAGGGACCTTCTCCATTTCATCATGGTCTATGTGATCTTCCTCTTTGGTTTTGCAACAGGTGAGTTTCCACTTTTGCTAGCAGGAAAAGCACCGACTGTCCAGTTATGGATGGCTTCAGCAGGTTGTTAGCTTCGTTTCAACATTTGGAAATGTTCTCTCTCTCTTTTTCGACTCCTAGAATCCTGCACCATGCTCTCTGGGGTTATCTGGAGATTATAGTACAGCAAACTAAAAAGAACATTTCTAGGGTGTTCTCATAAGTAACTGCCTAGGCTCTGCTCAGGTCAGAGGTGGGTGGCCATGACATGGAAGCCTTTGTAGGTGGCTGAGGTCACATAAACAATGGAGGGGGAATGATTGCTTCCATATGTGTTTCTTGAGGCCATCTAGTTGGCTGCTGTGGAAACACAACGCTTCTTGGTGTGATCATGGAAGAGTGCTTTTGTGAGTTGGTGTGCGGTACTGTCTAGGGCCAATAGGTCCTGAGCCGAGGCAAATGTTTGAGAATCAAAGGCACTTTTAAAAGCAGCAAATAACAGAATTGAAGATTAGCCCAAGGCTTTGTGGGGATTTGAACACAAATCCCATCAAGCTCAACATCCCGACCACGACACCATACAGTCTCTCATGCCATGAGCGTCCACCATCTGCCCAGCCCTGCCTTAAAATAATTTTTTTAAGAAACGAAGGAGGTTCTGCGAGGGGCTCCAGGCTGAAGGTTCATTTCCTCCTTCTAGCCCTCATCATCCTCACTGCGACAACCCCTCAGTTGGCCCAGAACAGCTCTGCCCCCCTCGATGGTGACGACAAAGGCCCAGCCATGTACACGGGGCTCTTCAAGACCTCTCTGGAGCTCTTCAAGTTCACCATCGGGATGGGCGACCTGGAATTCCATGAGCACGTGAGGTTCAAGTACTTTGTGATGCTGCTCCTCCTCCTCTTCGTCATCTTCACCTACATCCTCTTGCTGAACATGCTGATCGCCTTGATGAGCGAGACGGTCACCAACGTCTCTGGATACAGTCAGAGCGTCTGGAAACTCCAGGTGACACTGAGGGCCCGGCTGGGTCAGCAGGGTCTCCCCCCCTTCCCTTGAGACTGGGTGCGCCTCCTGTCATGGGGGAAATCTTGTGCAATGTCACAGGGAAACCCCCCTCTCAGCAGGATGTCCTATGGGGCGATACTTCAGTGCCAATTGCAAAAATGGGGTGTTTGTGCGGGACGATGTCTCTCCTGGAGAACTGGTGAGAAAGAGGTCGTTTTTCCGCTTGCAGAGAGCCATCGCTATTCTGGAGATCGAGAAGAACTGGGTCTGGTGCTGGGCGAAGCCACCAAGAGCAGGATACTTTCTGAACGTCGGCTCCGAAACCAAGAAAGATGAGAGGTGGCTTTTCCGGTGAGTAAGGGCTCACTAAGGGCCAGTGTCGATCGACAGAGTAGTTTAGTAGGATGATGCGCGGCAACTGAGGCTTGGCCGCACATATCTCTGCATGAGGTGATTCACAGGGCCATTTGTAATTTTTTATATGAAACCTCTGCCCCAAAGACCTTACAGAATAGAAACAGAAGGAGGAATAGCGGTAGCAGAAGATGTCTGGACCTCTTCAGTTATGCTTGGTTCGTCTTAGTCATTGTTAAAGCAGCTTCCCACAACCTAGGCCCTCCTGATCAATTGGACTACCACTCTCATCATCCCCAGGCACCATGGCCAATGGGGAATGTAGTCCAGTATTCTGGGCAGCATAAAATTGAAGAAAACTGCGGTCACATCTGGAGACATATACTCAAGGAAAGCTTGGAGCCCCTAGCAACAGATGTAGTTAGGGAATGTTATAAAATTTTGGGTCATGGATTTTGGGAGGTCTGGTCTAGGAACGCTGAAAATGGCTCCCCTCCTCCCCCAATGATTATTTCATCACCCAAAAGCCCCAGCCAGCATGACCATGAGGAAGGAGCAATGGCCTCTGTCGTTCACAATATCGGGGGGAAGGGGGAAGGTTCTCGACCCTTTGACACAATTTAGGCAATATACTATGTGTGCACTTTTAACACACCATGAAGGAGCAACACCCAGATGGTTCATTGTAACATCCGAACATGCTTTCTAGGGTGCAGGAGGTAAACTGGGTAGACTGGAAGAAAGAGGTGGGAGCCCTGAAGGAGGATCCAGCAGATGCCAACACTTCGAAGCCTGAACTTGAAGGTATTTTTTACGTTGTTGTCGTTTGCAAATGGCTGCTTCATCCGTGGCACGTGGGTACTTTCTATATGTAAAGCCGTTCCTGTTTTGAGAGTCTCGATTCCTGTTTTGTGTCTCCTCTTCCAGCGCAGAGCATCCTGAGCCAGCTCTCGGCACGTATAATGGCACGAACAGCTACGCCAGAGGAGGACGAGATGCCACTGCATGACATCAGCCCCTGAGCGACACAAAACCACAGCAAGGCTGGGATGAGAGAAAGGGTACCGAATAACTCATTGCCACCAGTCTGAATTCTTGTGAAATCTGGCCTCATCCAGACCAATACCCGACTGGATGATACCGGGGATTTTCTCCCACCATCCAGATGACGCAAGGCTGAAATTGGGACCCATTGTTGCAAAAAATAAAAATCATGGCTTTGCAGGCTTTTCATGTAGCTTTTATACTTAAAAAGAAAACTATAAGCTAACTAAGTGCAGCAGAGAATTTTTAATCGTTTTTTGAAAAAATAAAATTTAAGCCATTTCCTTTTAGGAAGCTGAATTCTTACAGAGAAGAGAAGTTGAGGTTTAGGAATAAGTGTGTGGACAGAAACCCCAGTAAGAGGAGGGGGATACTGCATCTGGATGAGACCACTTGGTCACTGTTGAGCTGCCTTTACTGAGCTAAGGATTGGGGAAATTTGCTTTTACATTAGGGGCAAAGCAATTATTTCAACATGGGATGAGGAAAATCTGTCATTTTTCCTTTGTCTCTCATTTTTTTAAAATTTAAAGTTCTTTCTCTCTGGCATATGAAAAAAAATATGTGAAAGTTGGTAAATTCATCCAGTATGTACTGAAATGAAATGATTCTGTTTGTACTGGCTGGGTTCAGCTGAAGGGGTGATTCCCAGTGAAAATTTAAGGGGAAGCGGGATGGGGGAACAGGACTGTCCACCTGAACTAAGGTGAGATTATGCCTTCGCCCTCCCCTTTGTACACATAAGCCCCTGCCTGTCCTTGAGCGCTCATGCAAAGATCTCGGGCCAGTTGCTTTTCTCATCCTGGCCCACCTCAGAGGGATGTCGTGAAGATAAAAGAGGGAGAAGGGAGAGAGTCCTCTATGCTCTCCTGAGCTCTGTGGAAATAAAGGAGGGTTATAAATAGAACATTTGACAAATACATACCTGTATTTGAAGTCTGGCTTTCGGCTCTTGCTCTTGTGCTCTTTCCTGTGAAGGAAGATACGCTTTGAGAAAAGATTGACACCTGTCTTTCCACAGTTCATGTCACTAGCTCTGAATCAGTGAGTTTTCCTGTGGGTTGATTCCACTCCCGACAAACCCCAGACATCCTGCATTTATACAAATATAGGCCCAGATCCGGCTGCTTACAAACTGCGTGTGGAATAGCCCCTCTCGGCAGAGTTCCTTCTTCATTCCCGTTTGGCCAACATGGAACTCATGGCCACCCCTCTGGACAAGCAGAAGAAATCCACCTTGTTTCCAGCAAAGCCGCCTCTCTTTGGCGCAGTGGTATTTCAGAGATCACCAAGGGCATATACAGAGTGCCCCAGCTGTGGAGCCCCTCCACTCTGCGGTGATGGGGAGGTCCTTGGCTCTTCAAGCCATGGAGCTAGAGAAGCGAAATCTCCACGGCCCCTTTCCACTTGGAAAATGTAAACACAAGCCCACCTACTTACCAAGTTTTGCAAGAGGGGCTTCTCCCTGGTGTCTCTCCAGCATTTTGAGCTGGTGCAAGGTCAGGCCTGGTTTTCTCAGCAACAGCTCTGAGGCTGTGGAACTCCCTGCACCTTTATTTCCTCCTCGGGTGCTTGACTTGCTCTGTAAAGTCAACTGCTCTTCTCAGAAGGTCGCAGCATCTCAGGAAGTGAGACCTGCTCTGAGGGCTGCTCTTCTCACAGGCATCTCAGGAAGTGAGACCTGCTCTGAGGATAGAGACGTTCCTATGTGAGTTTTAAATTACGTTCGTGCCTTGGTGTGACACCAGAAGAGGCTCCTCGGTGGCTCAGCGTCAATATGAACCGCGCTGGATCCCACCGAAGCAGCCCTGTTCCATCCAGCATAACGTGATGATAGACCCCTGCCGGTCCATGTTCCAGAAGCCAAGGGGTCTGATCCAATCACAGGGACGCAGAGTCCTGTATTGCCCCGCGGGGCAATAATTTTGAAGGTGCGAGAGGTGCACAGGGGGCATTACCCATCAACAAAAGGGCAAGCGTGGGGGGTCTCAAGCCGGAGCGTCTGGTGGCCCCAGAATAAGTGAGGGAAGGAATCCCTTCCGGATGTTAGTCCAAACACGACGGGAGCTACCAGTATCCTGAACCCAATCCACCCCCACCTCCCAGGTCCTGCTCAACATCTCCAGGACTTTTTTGGGAAATGCCCATAAAGTTCAGCTCAAAACCCACAGCAGGCTTGCCAGCCTGTGAAGCTGGACTATCCACCTGGGCTCAAGAGCCCCTCTTTGCAGGTGTGTGTGGGGGTCATCCTTGCCGTCTCCCAGAATGTGCCGCCTGAGGCAAGGGCCTCGCTCGGCCTCACCCTGAGGCCCTGCAGAGGAGGCCTGTGCGAGGCAGCAGGGCCACCTTCGGTCTTCTGCTGGGAACCCAATCCTCCTCCTGAGGAGGCAAGGTTGGGGGGGCAGGTGCCTCTGAGAGCCCAGCCTGCTGGGGGGCCTGATTTGCTTTTGACGCAGCGTGCGCTTCAGAAGCTTCCACCTCCAGGCGCCTCTCCTGACCACATCTTGAAACCCAGGCGGGCGGGTGGGGGGACTCAACTGCAGCCTTTTCTTGGGTCGTGCGTCTTGTTTCTTGCAACAGCGACCCGAGAGGAATCTCCTGTGCCACCGAAACTATTCGTTCTCAGAAAAACTTTGGGTTTTTTTCCCCCCATTTCATTTTCCCCCTACTTGGGAACTTCATCAGCATGAATCTTCTCTGCTTCTTCCTCTTACATTTGGGTAAGCAAACCTTATTTCATCTTTTTTTGCAGAATTCCTCTTTCCGCAGAAAGATCTCATTTTAAAAACAGACCTTGGTGGGAACTCTAGTTTTCCTTCTCCCTGCCCTGCTCCCTTTCCTCTATTGAGCTTACAGGGTCTCTCCCCCTTCGGACCCTTCTGTGGGGACCAGAAGCTTTTGCAGGTTTCTTTAGGACTTAGGAGTAGAGGTGTTGGAGACAACACAACGCAGTGGTTTCTTCTCTCGTCTTGTTTCCAGCATTTCAAATGAGTTCTGAAAACCTTTATGGATGTAGCTGGCCATGCCTTTCCAAAGCAAACAATAAAACCCAGGAAGTAGAGAAAAACAGTATATAAAATCCCAATTAAAACATGATTTGATCATACTGTGAGGCACTGGCTTTGCAAATATTGAGAATGAAGAAAAATACCGAATGGATGGTTCTCGAACCGATACTGCATGGACACTCTTATTATTGTTGTTGTTATTATTTAAAATTTGATTATGCCTTATTCATAGTCAATAGATCCTATCATGTCCGGTCCCAGGAAAAGCTGAGGTCAAATGGCTACAGGTTGCAAAGATCCAAGATTCTAGCTTGATCCAAGTTCGGAGAAGAAGCAAATATCCAGGGGGTGGGTGGGGAAAACACCATTCAAAATCAAGGTCTAAAGTTAATCTGGGGTCTTAGACAGCAAAGGTCTTGAAATGTTCCACGTGAGAGTCACCATGTTGGTTTACTAGAGGCAAGAAATTTTCGTGGCATTTTAACAGAGTAAAAGGCTGTATTTTTGTGGACTCTTGTCTCCGTCCATCTGATACATGCAACTCTTTTTTCTTTTCTTTTTGGAAAGCGTGTTCTAGCTTGTTTCACGATGGTCACCAGTTCGGTAGGTGGGATTGTAGTGGATTTTCGAGACCTCCAGGAAGGTTGACTTCCTCTGTTTTGTAGCCCATTTGCTCTGATCCGAGAAGCTGGTGCAACAAGGAGTAGAAAGAGCCCCGATATATCTCAGGGAAGGGGTGTGTGTTGTGTGTGTATGTGTGAAGTCCTCTTTATATGGAGACCTGAGCCCTTTCCTCTCAAGGGATCTTCTGCAACCAGGCACATCCTCTGGAAATGAAGGTCCCGGCTTGCTTCGGAGGGTCTCTGGGGCTCAGAGGTCTCTTTCTCTCCAACCAGTAGGCAGCCCTGCCCTCTTTAGGGGATGGATCTTCTCTCTCCTGAGAGCCCGGACTCCGGCTTCACTGGATTCTTAGGCAGATCTCATGCTGAAGATGGCTCTCCTCCAGCAGGGGTGGGATTTACCAGCAGCTAGGAGGGCTAAGTGTGGAGCCTCCATGGCCAGGAGTATTAGGCCTTCACATCTCACATCCCGGAGCTAGGTAAACAGGGAAATAACGTCCTTTGCTGTGATCTTCTCCGATGCTGCTGCAAACACATCTCTGGCCCTCTTGAAAGCTCTTTCAAGTACCGGACAATATTCTTTGTTTCAGCCACAGCACCATTCGCCCCCCCCCCCGATCAGATTCCTCCAGAGCCCCAACATGGTATGAACCATGGGAAAATTTCCATTCTTGTTCTGACTTTAGGTCTCGCCTGACCACTGTCTTTGCAAAAACTGTGTGGTTTTGCTAGGAAAGGAGCTTCTGGAGCTGATGCAAAAAGAGAAGTCGTGTCTAAGTTAGCATTTGCATTTATCAAGCCCTTTTTGAATCCAAAGGATTCCAACCTCATCTTTCAGGGAGAAAGAATCATGATAAGGGAATCTGAAGAGGTGTGAAGTGGATGCTGATCTGGAGATTACTCCTTTCTCAAAGACAGAACAATACAAAAAATAAAGCAAGCTCACCAAAAACAAACAAAAACAGCACAAAGCAAGATCAAAGGAATTAATTGGGGGGTATCTCTGGCATTTCCATTAGTCTTAAAATTTGGTGGGGAGTTTGAAGGTTCCAGGTTAGCTCTGGAAAATACCTTTTTCTCTTGGTTTGAGAGAAGCAGCCAAGAGGGAGGGCCAGGTCAAGGCAGAGAAGCAGGGAAAAAGGTTACAGAGCTCAGAAATGTTGGACTACAGCTCCCAGTGTCCATGGTGATCTGGGGGATTATGGGACTCACTTGAGAGAAGCAGCCAAGAGGGAGGGCCAAGTCAAGGCAGAGAAGCGGGGAAAAAGTTACAGAGCTCAGAAAAGTTGGACTACAGTTCCCAGTGTCCATGGTGATCTGGGGGATTATGGGACTCACAGTCAGGAAAAACAAAAACTTTACTAAGCTCTTGTTTAGCAGCTCTCCCATACAGTTCTTCTGCTTGTAACATCCCATACTGTTTTAGCCTACGAAATATGCTCTCACCCAAGGCTGGTCTGCTCCATACATTCTGGCGTGTCCTTCCCCACCCAGTGGCCTTAAACGACAACTGGCATTTTCCTCGACAGAACCAATGCCCGTTGCTTTCCCTTTTTCTCCTTCCAGCCCTCCAAACGCCGAGAGGTTTCAACATCGACACCAGCAAGGCGTGGGTTTCATCTGTAGCTGACCTTCATTTGGGACATCAGGTTCTCCAGCATTCGGACGGGCGTCAAAATTGGTGAGGAAGGAGCCAAGAATCAAACCCAGAGCCAGAGATGCTCCATTTCTTGCAGTTGGCTGAAGTATCACACGTGCCCAAGAGTGTAATGATGGAGTCCTGGTTTTCAAGATCAGGGCACTACTGCTTTTTCATAAGTTAGGAAAATCACATGATAGACACCGTGGAATGTCTGTTCCCACTCAGTTTAGCTGCCATCCACCCAGTATTTTCCCTTTTGTGGGGAAAAGCATTTTTGAGCAGCTTTTGTCTGGAACGGGCAAATAAAAGCTGCTAGTTTTGCCAAAACAAAACAAAAACCTGTTCCTGGCACGAGGGAAGGGACTCTTGGAAAAAACTGACTTCTGGGGTGGCCCACTTAACCACCACTGGCCGTTCCTCCCTGCCAGAAATGCACCCAAGTTGACTAATAGCAGCAACATGCAGATTATGAAAGATAAATCTGAACTTAAAGATAGCAAATAAAAACAGAATTGAAAACATGACAAGCACAATAGGAAAAAAAAATAAAAGGACACAAAGCTAGTGCCACAAGTAAGGGAAAAATGGTTGTGTGACATGGAGGTTCATGTAGAAATGGAGACAGGAAATTGATTTATTCCTTGATAACACCACAGCCCAAACTCTTTAACCTCGAAATCCCCCTTCTAAGATTTAGGGTGTGATCACTGTTGCACAGTTTGAACTTCTAATAAAATTCCTTTTTTGCTGTGCAAGAGAAGTAAAGAAACCCACAGAGGAGAATAGCTACAAGTTCCCCAGACAAGTCCACCCCTTTCTCATTAACTGGGACTCCCAAGTTTCAGCAGGTCACTCTGAGACATGTAGAAGAAATAATTTTTAAAAACAGCAACAACACATTTCTTCCCTTATAGTTACAGAGACCTGTGTAGGCCGCTTTCTTTCCTGCGCGCCTACATAGCAAACAACCGAACAGATCAAGAGCAAGCAAACAACTCCCTTGGAATCCAAAGGCTGGATGGGATGATTGGTTAGTGCTGGAGAGATAAGGCAGTCCATCCCAGAGTAACCCCAACCTGTGCTCCAGTGGGAATTTTTTGGTCCGGCTGTCGGGCTTCTACGTTTGAGGACTGGGCGGAAGTGATTCCCCAGCAGACAGAACGTTCACTTTAAGGGAGATTTCCGCCCCCCATTAAAGTGAGCCTTCCTAGTGTGTTCAGAGACACACCTTTTCGCCTCTTCTTCCTTTTACGAAAGGTCGGTAGCCCCTGAAAGATGCTCTGTAGGGATTGTCCGGCTGTCGGGCTTCTACATTTGGGGACTGGGTGGAAGTGATTCCCCAGCAGACAGAATGTTCACTTTAAGGGAGATTTCCGCCCCCCCCCCATTAAAATGAGCCTTCCTAGTGTGTTCAGAGACACAACTTTTTGCCTCTTCTTCCTTTTACGAAAGGTTGGTAGCCCCTGAAAGATGCTCTGTAGGGATTCAAGAGCAAACAAGGGGTCTTGGAGGTTTTCTCTCAAGAAGAACCTTTTTTTCTGACAGAACTTTTGAACAGCTGGCAATACGGAAACAGCTCTGAAACGGTTTGCATTTCTTACATAAAAGGGCCTGAGCCACGAAATGCTGAAGACACGGCGCAGGGGGCTGGCCACGCTAAGAGATCAGCAGCGCCGGCGGTTTCCTGCTTCCGGCCACAGACCAGCGATGACAAGCTGTGTCTGTCAGGTCTGCAAAAGTCTCGTTGCAGGTCTGCTAGATTTCACAGATTCGGGGCGCTGTGGTCTAGCCAGAGATAGCGATGAGTCATGATGATACAGCGACAAGAGCCTCTGTACCCAGGAGTAGTCTACCCACAGTTCCTGAGGCACAGGAGGGCTTATTTTTGCCTTCACACTGCATTTCTTCAGGACTTCAGCTGACCCGTTTTCAAAGCTGGTGTTTCTAGCAGAGGCAACTAATGATGATCAGCCCGCATAAGCGGCCTGCAGTAGTTTTCCCAATGGCTTACAGCCTCCTGCTGGTATTATGTGCAATTGGTATTTTGTAGATCTGACGCTTTTTAAAGCTCAGGAAACAGCGGGATGCACCAGACTCTGCTTTGCAGCTGGAAAGGTGGGCGTGTGGCATTGAAAGAGTTTTTTTTAAAAAGTTTTTGCATCGAGAGAAGCTGCTGTGTGCAACCCATCTTGTGCTTTGCCTCTTAGACAACTGAACACCACTTTGTAATCTGGAAGCCTGTTGTATAGAATGTAGCTGTATGTTGCAACCCAGGAAAAGCATACATACACCCATAAATCCATGTTCCCCCCCTTCTTCCCATCCACATGGCTAAAAGCATCTTTTCTCTTTTTTCTCTCTCTCTCTTTTTTTCTTCCAAAAGGATCTTAACTTCCTCCTTGGAACCAGGCAGCTATGACAAGCTCTATAAATGCCATTTCCAGGATGAGCTTCGTTGTGAGGTGGCCAGCTTTGGGGGTTTGTGCGTTTATACAGTACCTTTTTTTGGCGTTCCTTTCCTGCATTTTGCCCCAACATCATTTTCTTTCACGTTCGTGGCTCGGCTGAATGATACACCTTTCCCTTTCTCTCTTCTCCAATTTCAGAAAAGATTCCAAAGCTAAAAAACTTCCAGCCTGGTATAGCTATTGCTCAAAGTTCGGAGCAGATTCTGGTAAGCTGTTTCAGATGCTCTTCTTAGATATCTCAAGCCAATAACTGTGAGGAAATGACAGTTCTTTGCTTGGCAGTGAGGTCTAGAAACTTAACTAGTATGGGAAAAGCTGACTCAGATCAAAAATGTTGAATATGAGCTCCTTTAATGTCATCTTTGTGCATTTTTTTCACTGCTAGCTTTGCTTGTCGGGTGGCTAATCCCATTTTGCCCTCGACAGGCGTGTCTCCAGCAGAGACGGCGCCAGCGACGCCAGGCCACGGAAGAGCTGAATGGGATTTGTGTCCTGCTTGGACCTCATTTCCAAGAGAAGGCTTTGGTGAACCTTACAGACATCAGTAAGAAAGCAGGGGTAGAGGGTGCCGCTTTTTGTTTAAATCTGCACCCCACCCAGTTTAAGCGACAGGCGGGATCTCGACCCCCTGTTTTATCTCTGGCTTGGCCCATTAACTACCTTTGGCTGGGGGACTCTGGGAGATATATTCCCAGAAAAGAGGACCATTTCCAAATTCTAGATATGACGTCCTGCTTTTTCTTAGCCTACCTTTTCTTCTCTTTAAAAAGAAGGGGAGGAAAAAAAGACTGTCTATAGTAAACCGAGGGGAGTTGTTCTGAGATTCTGATATTCTCAGAAGTTTTTGATGGGACTTTTCTTGGGACTTTGTCTGTGCAGTTGAAACTAAATTAAGCCAAAGCGAGCACGTGCGCCAAAGAAGAAGCAACGATGGGAATGGTTTTGGTGGCTTCCACATCAACAGCTGGCGTCCCACGACGACTGGGCCTTGCCGTAGCCGAGACGATGCTCAGGACTGCAATGGTAAGACGGAGGGCTGAGGGTGTTTCTAAATATCGATATATATGTATATTGGCATCGATTTCCATTTAGCTCTTTCCTCCAAGATGTTCAGTTGGCGAACAGGGTTCTCACCCCTGTTTTATCTTCACAACAGTGCTCTGTATGTGTGTGGGTGGGTCAGGGTCCTTGGAACTCCGTGCCACTTGATGGAGTGAGCAGAGCATAAGATTCAGCATTTAGATCTGTTTCTCCATCTTCTCTTTCAGACAGAAGCTCTACAATTGGCAGCAAAATCCTTGGCACTAACAACAACAACAACAATAACATGGGAGAGAAGCAGAAGGAAGAAGAGGATGAATCCTGTACGTTGAGGCACAGAGCAGGATCCATTTAAGTTTCCAAATGCAAAAAAACTGTGGGAGGCGATCGATCGTACTCACGGGGACCTCTGAGCATGTACTGAATGCATAGTTTGTCATTGACAAAAAGCCACCGTCCTCACCCATCTGGCATTAGGGGCAGGCGCCTGGTCCAAAGGGGGTGGGACTCGGGTAGCTTTGGGCATTGACCACCTCCAAGGGCAGCCCAAGACATTTTGCTGCCCGAGGGACAGCAGCGAATGCTGAATCGAGATGTACGTCTATTTACTTCTTTTTCCAATAAAAATGTTCCATGTCAACAGGTCTCGGGGGCAGAGCCTAATCCATAAAGCCATACTAAAACAATCAAAACCATCTCATATACAGTACTTTAAAACTCTGTTTTTAGCTAGTCAGACACCTTAAAGCAGCCTGTTTGGAAACACAAGGGGGGGGGAACTTAACACAATCTCTCTCTCTCTCTCTCTCAATTTCCATTGGTGGTAAAAATGAGCCTCTCTTATTGAAATTAGCTCTGCATTAATTATTTCTTTCAGAAATGAAAGAGTCCTCTTGACATGTTGCTCATGGGAGTCATGATGATCTTGGCCCTGGATTAATCCTGACCCTCCCTGCCAGTTCCTTACCACCTGGCCCTTCCTTCCTTCCTTCCTTCCTTCCTTCCTTCCTTCCTTCCTTCCTTCCTTATTTTCTTCCCCAACAGATCTGAGGACCGAAATCGCTATCGTCTTGGATGGATCCGGAAGCATTGAGCCTGAAGACTTCCAGCAAGCGAAGGACTTTGTCTATAACATGATGAAAACCTTCTACGAGAAGTGCTCCGAGGTGACCCCGTCCATGACTCTGCTCGTACACTTCCGCTAAATTTTAGTCAAGCTGTACTAACCCTCTGGTGTGTGCGCGTGCCCCGTAAGTGGTCCCAACTGTGGCCTGCCACAGGTCTGGGCCCCGTGGGCTCCTGGGAAAGGAGATGCCATAACCTAGCTTCCTTCAGCTGGCTGCCATCCAGAGGCGTTGATGCCCGTGTTACCTCAAACTCAGCAAGCCCGGGGGGGGGGGGGTGATTCTGTTAAGGAACTGCTCTGTCCCTCTGGCTTGGGAGAGTTAGCTTTCGGATGACAACCAAATTCTCTGTGTTCCTCCTTCGTCTACACAGGATTAAGGAGCCCCGAGTTGTCTGCCGGCTGTTTTCCGAGCAGCCAAAGAAGACGGGGCTGGGGTTTCATCCTGCACCCTTGGTGTAAGACTGGGAAGCAAACAGACAGCTGTGCAAACAGCTGCACAGAATCAGAGTCCATGTGTAAATGCTAATAATAATAATAATGCTCTGCACAATCATATAAACACATCTTCAAAAAGTTACTTTCTGGACTACAGTTCCTACAACTCTTGCCCGGTTGACTTGACACTTGCAAGTCTGAAAACATTACTTTTTCTAATTTGCTAAAAGCAAATTACTCTTCTGAGTCCTGTTCAGATATTTCCAGGCTCCCGGGTTTGGGTCTAGGACTCTAACTAGGACCCTGTATTCTTCCCACAGCTTAGCAGTATAGCGTCCTTTGTGCTTATAAGAGGTCCCGTTAAGACTAGTGTTTGTTCGTTTGTTTTTACCCAGTACTAGATGAGGAACTACAAACCCCATCACTCCAGATTGCTTAGTGCATTGTTATATGCAGTGGTTCCCAGCCTTGGGCCCCTAGGTGTTCTTGGACTACAACTCCCAGAAGCCTTCACCAGCAGCTGTGATTTCTGGGAATTGTAATCCAAGAACACCTGGGGACCCAAGGCTGGGAACCCCTGTAGGGCAAGCATTCCAAGCGAGCCAACACCTTCCCTATGTTTCGGATTACTGTACAATCTTCCATCAGCTGGGGGAATGATGGAGGTTGTAGTCCGAACGTGGGAGAGGGCGGTGAATGTTTTGTCATGTGGTCCTCCCTCCCTCTCGCTCACACCTTGGGTCTCTTGGGCCGCAGTGCGTCTTCGCCTTGGTTCAATACGGACTCATCATCCAGACAGAATTTGACCTGCGGGACAGCAGAGACGTTCACTCCGCCCTGGGAAAAGTTCAGGCCATGAGGCAGGTGCGCAACGTGACTCGGACAGCGTCGGCCATTCAACACGTCTTGTGAGTCGTCCAACAGGAACTGTAGGGTGGGGAAATGATCTTGGAACCATCCGGGTGGGAGAGATCCCTCGGGATGATCGCGTCCAGCCCTTGTCAAGGAAGGCCTGCGGGGGGGGGCCGTAGGGTGGGGAAATGATCTTGGATCCATCCAGGTGGGAAAGGTCCCTCGGGATGATCACGTCCAGCCCTTCTCAAGGAAGGCCCGCCGGGG